ATTAGTGCTGAAATATGTAGGGTATTACGTGAAGGCCTTGATAATATGTACGTAGTTAAAGAGAGACCAAGCCTTCTATTGAAGATGCCATTTTCTAAGCTATACATCTTAAATTCTTTAAAATGGTTCTGGAAAGCATTGAGGATTTATTTTCAATTTTTGATTTATATTTATGTAATGAAGGTTCCATATTTCTTTTTATATGCCTGTATATTGATATCACAACAAAAATTATCAACTGATCTGTTTGAAATTTATCTGCAGTCTGTGGTATTTGTTTTCAATGTTAAACACCAATGCTGACTTTGACATCTAGATGAACTGTAGTATGATCAGAAATATCTTTATCATGAATTGGATGTTTAGCGACATGAAACTTTTGCCATAAAAAGAGAACTGCAATATATTATGAAAGAATGTAGGGCAGGAGAAATAATAGTCAGATGAGACAAAGCTTATATAGCCATCTATATTGATCTGACTTCTTATTATTTGCCTATAAAAACAACTAACATAGAGAAAGTCATTCAAGGCCATCATAGTATCAAATTCCGAATCATTTCCTTCCCCCAATATTTTACAATAGAGAATAGCTGGTCAATTATTCCAGGATTGTGACCTACATGTTTACTGGTACCGTATTTGTTTTATTATATATTGCCCTCGCCACTGTCCATCCACAATTTGTTTGTGGACACTCTACAGGTCACAATTCTTACTTGATTTTGAGGAAACTTGAAATATAGCTGGTCAATTATTCCAGGATTGTGACCTACATGTTTACTGGTACCGTATTTGTTTTATTATATATTGCCCTCGCCACTGTCCATCCACAATTTGTTTGTGGACACTCTACAGGTCACAATTCTTACTTGATTTTGAGGAAACTTGAAATATAGGTTTGTCTCCAAAAGATCTTGGTTGCTTTTGATATTGGCATGTATTGAATCGAAACATCATGGATTATTTCCCCTAATTGTACGAAAAATCACATTTTTAGCTTGTGGACCCTGTAAAGGTCACATGGTTATATCCCAAAATTTTTGGCTCTTTTCAATATTCGCGCATATCGGATCGTAACTTCCTGAATTATGGCCCCTGATTGTACAAAAAATCGAATCGTGTTTTGCACTTGTGGTCCCTATAGAGGTCACAATTTTTATCCGATTTAAAACAAAAAATGTGTGAATATATCACAGTTATACACTAATGATGTTTGAGTTTGAATTTCGTGGAATTCAGAAGAAACTGACGGACATAACGGCCTAATGATAGTTGAGTTCAAATTTCGTAAAAATCGAACAAAACTACCTGATAAAATGGCTGCTCCTTGTACGCAAATAGTGTAAAAGTATGTAATACAAAGGTTGTGGACCCTGTAGAACTCAAAATTTTTATCCAATTTTTATGAAACTTAAAATATATCTTTATATCAGTCCATGTCGATATCCGCGCATTTAAGACCATAACTTCCTGGATTATGGCCCCTGATTGTATGATTGCCATAAATTTCCATAAAACTTAATAGATACACAATCATTACATGTTCAAATACAGCTGACTTATGTCAAATTGATGCAAGACAGTAAGACACTACAACAAGTCCAATTATAAAATGTTATCAGTTTGATTTGTACAAATGAAAAATAAAGTAACAATAGCACCTGTGTCCTGAATAAGTGGGAGAATGTCCTAGATAAATATTTTTAGTTATTAAGCCGAATGGACTGACCTAGCGAGAAAAAAAAGAATTGAAAGAGTTAAAATTTTACCCTTACTTTGTGTACAATGTCACAAATCATATAGTTATGATGTCAAAACTAACCAGTGTTTATGGAAACCAGAATGGATCATCAAGAAATAGAATGATAATGATCTTACAGTCACACCAATCAAGTGGCTATTTATTTATCAAGCCCCTGAAGAACTTAAAATTAAGTTGCTTTGACCTAAGTGTTAGAAATATGAATAGTGTTAAGTGTGATGCACAATCACTTTGTATAAATAACATGCAGTCAAACACTTTTTATTGGAATGGATATGGGAATTGGGGAGTCACAGTGGCTCAGTGAGTTAGATGTTGGCTTGCTAAACTGTGTTGGCCGAGAAAGTTCATCAGGATTTTCCAGAGTGGTTCCCCCTGAGTGGTGCAGGACAGAGGGTCTGGCAAGAGACAGAGTATAGTCATTTGGATGGGATGGAAAACTGAGGTCCCGTGTGCACATTGGTATGCATGTAAAGGAACCCTTAGCAGTTGGAATTTGATATAAGAGTAGGCCATAGCGCCGCCGTCGGGGCAAAAATTCCCTCATAGCACACTGTACATGGCGTCTGCCAGTCTTCATTAGCCCAGTCCGAGCAGAACAGGATGTTGAACCCCATTTCATTTCATTTTTATTTGCAATGGATGTGAATGGTAATTATATCCCATGATTTTCCTGTGTATAGAATTACTAGGCATCAATCAACATCATCATCAGTTTTCAGATAATTTTGTATTATCCCCCACAAATAGCAGATCATTTTTTTCTAGAGATCAGAAAATAGAATTTTCTGCATGTGGAAATTTAGTTTTATAATATATCATCCAGGGTATTGATCAGGCATTACCTAAAACAGAACTCAATTGTCTAGGTGAATACCATTTGTTTGTTTTATAATTATCTAAGCGCTTCAGGGCAAATGTAGAATTGTTAGTGAATTAACATTATATGTGGAATCAAATATTTTTGGTAATGATTAGCTCCTGCCGCAAGCTATAATCATTTCCTTTCTTTGTTAGTAAATGTAAATTATAGTCTTGAGAAGTAGAATTTCCTTCGATTGCCAGTCTTACTACAGATAGTCTTTCTTCTCTATTTCAACATTTTTCAATAATTTCAATATCAATTTATAGTCTTAATATTGCCTCTGGGGAGAACTTTCCCAAATAGGAAAACGATTCTTTTAGTAATGATTTTTGTTACATTTTCGGGGTGACTCTTACCTAGTGGCTTCCAGCGAAAGGCTAACCTTGTTTTCTTTTCCTTCAATAGATAATGATTTCAGAAAGAAAAACATGCATGTGTGCCCCATAGTCTACTTTGTCAATTATTCCTTGGGCAATTTGTCTACTGGTTGCAATCAGATTGACAATGCCAATTATAGAACCACGAATACAGTGTTAAAAGCAGAGATGATTTCCATAGACAACCCATTGAACTAGAATGGAAATGAAATAGAAATGTCTAATACTGTTGCTGTATTTGTTAGGAGATTCACACGTGGTTTATATGCACCAGCTACATATACTGTTTCTCTGTTTGGAGATATTAACTTTCAAAATCTTTCAATCTTGTTACCTATACATAAAGACCTTTCTCTCATCCAAAGTTAAACAAACATTATGCAAGAGCTAAATCTGTCTATTGCAGGTCTTTCTTTAGGCCTGAAATGTTATCTAAATTATTAATTAGACATTAATTATCCTATCCAGGCCATAATCAACTCTAGATGGCAGCGCTAGCCTGCGATCTTTAATGGATTGTAAGCCGATTTACTGCATAACTTTCCTTCTCGATTAAATGGATAATCGAGACTATGCTGTTTATCGTACTGACTTTAGTAATGATGACCGAGACTTATGGGAATTTCAGTCGCTTAGTTCTTGGTTCATCGTCGATCAATTTGAATAAAATTTTCTCCAAATTGCCTTTACATTATCTAGTTTTTAACTATTATAGTGAGAACTGCCAACTCGTTACCGAATCTCCCATAATGTATCTTTAAGCAATGTTAGGCCTCCTCAGTTCTTGGATGGGTGACTGCCTTGGACCAGCACAGTGACTGGATGATTATCTGTTTGATCCTAGTGTGAGCTGAGAAAGTTCATTAAGATTTTCCAGCTTAGTTTTCCCTTGATGCAGAACGAAGGACCTGGCAATGAAAAGTATCCAGTCATTTGGATTGCACAAAAAAAATCCATTGTACCATTGGCTGCATGTTAAAGATGGAAATCGAATTAAAAGTAAGTTGTAGCACCAATGTTAGGAGAAAATTACACTCATAGTCACACTGAATGGTCTTCAAAATAGACGATTTGATACAGAAAAGTAATTTACTCAGTATTTTCCAACCTTGTTTGCCCTTGTTAGTGGTGCAGGACGGATGGCCTGGCAAAGATCAATGTCTAGTCATTTGGATGGGATCAAATATCAAGGTCCTGTGTACAGATTGGCTTGCACATAACATAACCCTTGACAATTGGAATTCAATGATGAGTAGGTGGAAACAATATTTCCCATTAGTACACATGACGAATGTCCATTGTCATTAGCCCTCTTGGTCTAGAAAAGTAGGATGATAAACCCCATTTCATATCATAATAGGATTCAATTCTTGGAATTATCCAACTTTAATGCCAGTAAATTATTCAGCCATTTCATTTCACTGGTAGTCCCATCAAATATGACTGAATCAAGAGCCCTGTATGTGGGGATAACCTCTCTTTATTCTTCAATAATATTCAATATCTTTGGTTCGGATGGACTATGTAAAGCGATCACTGTATACATATCACATGATTAGAACATTTAATTTTGTTAAAAAAATTTCCAATAATATTTTCATAGTTTAGCAGATGGTACATGATGCATCAAAAGCTATGGCTGTCTCTTATTGCACTTTGATCAATATACAGTAACAATATATACCGGTATATCCAAAAATAGTAGCTCACGGTAAATGATGAAAAGATAACAGGTATGCCGACACAAACTGATTTTAACACTGGTTTAATAACATTTTAATACATTAAAATGATTCAATGTTTTAGAATACACATTGAAATCATGGTTTGTTCGCAACGTTTCAAGACAACTGTAGGAAACTACATTTGAAAGCTGTAAGTAACACTGTCTTTTGCCTGCCTATCTACGGAGTTAAATTTGCAATCTGTTTTAGAAATTTGACATATGATTATCTGAAGAATTTTATATTATATAATTATATTCCTTTTTCAGAAAACTGGTCCTAGAAAAAAATGTATAGCATGTAAAATAGTAGCACACACTGCGTGTATAGCTCTTTTAGAACAGGTACACGTATAACTTTTAATAAGTTTTTGAAATAACTCATGGCATGATTAGGATATTCAGTTGGAACATTCTGGAATTAAACTCTCTCGAATCCTGCGAGAATATCTGGCAACAAAACATGTGCCAACTGAAAAAGAAAATATCTCCACTGATCATCACCGATGATACATGTTCGCTGACTTTGATTTATGTCATGGGACAGACAGAATTCGATTCTTTGTAATTTGATTGCAATTATGTTATTTTGGAACATCCCAGAATTACAATTAAACATCCTCTCAGGTCACAAGAAGTTGCAGTGCTGTTGAGTGTTTAGATGATTTTACACAGGATTTTCTTGTCAGCTTCACCTTAACTTCTATTATCCCCAGGTTAGGATGTGCAAGAAAAGTATTGGTTGATAAAACAAAATGTCAAGTCCCGATTCGTAAAATTGACATTTGATTCAAGAGCTGAAAATGAAGTTAGAATTTCAAAATGTTCAAGTAGAACAAGGTTAAAACATGCATTAACAAAGTCAATAGTCAGTCACACAATATTTTTTTGTGTCTTTTCGATAATTATCTATCCAAACCAATTTACTGCAAGTAAAGTGATAGTTAGACGCTCAAATAATTGAAGATCGGGAAACCTATCATGTTTGTTTTTTATAGATCATTGGGTAAGTGGAGAACATTTCCAAGTGATCTTTGTTTTAATTAAAAAACCTAATTCCATTCTTTTCTGATCCAATTTTTTTCTCTGTATTGATCAATCTACTGTAATTATTTCAGAAAAATTTACGTTGTAAACCATCATTCCGTGAAGCTGGTGTTAGGAACTATCGAGAACAAACGTTCATGAGACACCATTGGGTTCATCGGCGACGTCAAGAGGGGAAATGTAAACAGTGTTCAAAGGTGAACATAAAAATATATGAATATTAATCCTTGATATTTTCTCAAAATGATATAGATAATTTGATATGAAAGATCTGAATCCATCTGAATACCAAAGAAATTTTAAAAAATGTTACATTTCACAGAAATGGAAAACAAGCTGTGTGAAAATAAAGATTTTTCATTGAATCTATGCTTGGACCTTGTACTATTAGTCTCAAAATAACCACAGTATTATAACTGATCATCTGAATGCATTCTTCATTTACAAATCTAACCTTTCTTTACAGTCTTTCCAACAACGTTTTGCTTTTCAGAGCAAGGTAGGATATCAACATAAACTTTACTTGTAAACTAGAAACATCCTAGCCACAAAGGATAAATTAAAAGATGGAGATTGGATGTCTCCTGGTAGCAACCTTACAAATAAAGAAAGTTAATAAACAGTTGCATCTTTCTGTAACTTGGGGGTGGATGGCCGAATGGTTAGCGCATTTGCGTTGTATCATTCATAAGGTCTGTCATTGAGTTAACTTTTGTGGTCTTGATTCCCCGGTTGTACGTGACAAGGAGTAGGGTCGCCAGTTCAACTTCGTGGGCTTTCTCCCGGTCCTCCAGTTTCCTCCCTGCTAAAAGACCCCTATGTATAAGCGAATTATTGAAATAAAATTGAACCTTATTTTGTCCCAAAATGACCTAGTTTGTGTCCAGTGTAACTTGGGGTAAAATCTGGTCGAAAAAAAACAGGGGTCTTTTTCTTAAAAACTTTTTAAGGATAGTACGGTATATGAAAAAGATTTTCCGAAATGGTTTCCCCTTTTCACTGGTGCAGGATGGAGGACCTGACAAGGACAGTGTCTAGTCTTGTGGATTGGATGAAAAACTGTCCTGTTGACACATTTGAGTGCAGAAAAATGAACCCTTGATAGTTGGAATTTGATATATTAGAGTAGGTCGTAGCACCGCTTTCGGGGCAATATTACCCCTCATAACACACTGTATGGTGTATGCCTGTCTTCATTAGACCAGTATGTATAGAACATTTGGCCATTAAACCCCATTTCATATAGTATTGGAAACACTCATTTCAAACAATGTATAGTTGTTTGAATGGGATGAAAAACCAAAGTCCTGTGTACACATTGGAGTGCACGTAAAAGAACCCTTAACAGTTGGAATTCAATATAAAGGTAGGACATAGCCCCGCTGTCCAGGCAAAATTTCCATCATAGCACACTTCATGGCATGTGTCCATCTACATTGCCCAGTCATGTCAGAAAAGTAGGATGTTAAAGCCCCTTTTATTTCATTTCTGCTTTATGAAAGGATCAGTCTGCGAGTAATTAATGAGATTAAGGCGGGGGAACATCAACCTCACTGTTGACATTAATATTAATTATTGTAGGATATAATAGCCATAAGCTGTTCTTGGTGTAAAGCAGCTCATCATAACAAGACAACATGCTTTATGATGCAACAGATTGAAGAACAATGTACACTCGGAATACATGCTGGCATAATCATTCCACCATCTTGGATTATCAAACTTCCAAAAAAAGTATGTACAATATATTTTTTATTAACTTTTAAGGAAAATTTGTAAACATTTTTAAACATGAGTGATTTTATGGGGAAACCAGTTAGTGGAATTGAATTCATTACAATATTTTTGTTTAAGATTTTTTAGTTGATTTTCTGTTGCATCAATTGATCTTTCAGATTTTGTCATTAGTCAATTCAGATTTCTTAATCGTATTTTTTACATGAAATGTTTCAGTTTTTTATTTTTAAAATCTTGTTGAAATCTTGTTAGTGGTACAAGGCGTTTATTGATTGTAGCTCAGAACACTGTGTTAAAATATCTGAAGTATTGAAGTATGATTTTAAGTACAATTATAGTCATCCATGCAGAAACAATTAAAGTACCTCTTTAACTCGGTGAAAGGACTAGAAGGACGGCCTAACAACCATAATTAAACACACAACGTTATGAAAGCAGAATTTGTAAAAGATTTGAACTATAAACATACTTGGTTTTTCTTATAACATTTCCTTTTTAATGTAATTTAAAAATATGTTGGTGGTATGATTTCATCCAAGTATGGAAACGTGAAAATGAGTTGTCCTGATTTTATTCAGTTCAGTCAATGATCTGGAAACATTATTTTTAAATGTATATTTGTTCTTTGATGATGAAATTTTTGTGGTAGAAATTCAAAATCTGATGATATTTGTTTTGATTATAAACTCACAATTTATTTTGATGATTGGGAAACAATTTTTCTGCTAATAATTACTTTCAGTGTTATTTCGATTTCAAATATTGAATTCACTCCATTACTGAATTACTTTCTGACTAAACTGTGAGTATAACATGTATTTCTTTAAGCCAATCTACTTGGTTGAAGTCAGTGGAATTATCTTACATCATACAATGTCTGAATATTAATATTTTCAGGGGTCTTTCAAATCTTCAATACGTGCCAGTAAAAAGCGGAAAGCGTCATTAAAGAAACGACGGAGTAGAGATGATGCCAAACCATTTATTATTAAACCCATTCCTTCACCATTATTAAAACCTCTTCTTGTTTTCATCAATCCCAAATCTGGGGGAAACCAAGGAGCAAAACTCATGCATAAATTCTGTTGGTTGTTAAACCCTCGACAAGTGTTCGATTTAGCTCAGGGTGGACCACGATTTGGGTTAGTATGCATTTTTATTAGCTAAATTTTAGCATCTTGATACAGATATATTGAGTTGAATATAAGGCATTTGATCTAGATATCTTAACCGATTTGGTGAAGAATTACAGTGCTGATTTTGTGGCTATAGCCAGCCCCTTGGAAAATTTCCCATTTTAAAATGGACATGGTTTATTTTTATGTCATGCCTCCTCTAGTTATTAGGGGTACAGCATGTGGAGCTGATTGTTCAGATGGTTAGTAGAAACAAAGTTAGTTAAGAGACACATGCCATAGATCACTTGAGAGTTGATATTTGTGAATAAAAAGGATAGGCTAGAGACTTGCTGTCATGTCAAAATACTACTCCATGGCCATATATTGATTTTCATACTACCAGTATATTCTTTTGCATTAATTTATGAAATTTATACATTCACCTAAGAAGAGTACCTATTAAATTTATACCACTGACATTGATTTATATATTAGTTGATCTGGCACAATCAGACGTTGTAGATTAATCATATTAAATATCAATTAAAATGAATCTCTTCTCATATTGTAGATTGGAGTTGTATAAGAAAGTGCCTAATTTACGTATTTTAGCCTGTGGTGGTGATGGTACAGTAGGATGGATCTTATCAACGATAGATGCCCTCAACATCTCTCCTCCTCCCCCAGTTGCTGTAGTACCTATAGGTACTGGCAATGATCTGGGAAGGACACTCAATTGGGGTGGTGTAAGTGTTCATTTTGTTTGGACTTTTGTTTAACAATGAGATCAAAGTTCTTAATTTACTGTCAGGTCTTGCATTGGGAAAAAAAATTAATTAAATTTTGTTTCTGTTTTGACTGTCTTTGGAAAAGAAATCCCTTAGCCATATTGTCAAATTATTATTCACGAAGAAGGGGTAAGAATAAGAATATAAATTAGCTTCTTTTCTTAACTCAGACGTGATGATCTCTGGAGACAATGTTTTGATCAAATTAAGGAATGAATAATGAAGTTGAATTCTTTTGAGAGCAGCCAATATGTCATATTTTTTGTTTGATTTGATTATAAAGATATATGTAAATATGTTTGTGTTTTCTAGGGCTATACAGATGAACCTATTTCTAAAATATTATGCAATGTAGAGGAGGGGCAAGTTGTGCAGTTAGATAGGTAATTAGAAAATTGAGACCATATCTTAGAATTATTAAGTTTTCAATATTACTTTAATTTGCAAAATATACTGATTATAATTTGGTAACCCACAATAAAAAATTATTTATGATTTGAACAAACAACTAAAGGTATTTTAGAAAGCTATTACCATAGCACGGTAACATTGTGTAATAGATATTTCATGTTTTAATTTAAAGATACATTATTCAAGAGCTAAATTTGCCTATTGCAGGTCTTTCCTTAGACCTTAAATGTTATATAAATTATTAATAAGACTTTTATTAACATGACAAGACCATAATCAACTATTGGTGCCATCAAATGCTTGAGATTTTAACTAGATTAAAATGGTTCGGCCATTTAATGATTTAATTTAAAAATGGAGAAGTGAGGCTAAGACTCCAATACATCAGTTCTATGGTTACAATAATAGACAATCAGTGCACACATCTTGTCATCATGAGGGAAGCATAAGCATAATTTGTAATTTCTGTACTTTATACATTATACATTCTCTAGTGGACCTACCATTAGATTGGTTTTATTGTCAACTCATCATAACACCTTTGATAAAAACCAATTGTTTATGGTATGATGGTTTGGGGTTAAATTAGTAGTATTACACCTTTTCGGATCAACTTGATTAATTTATTACACTTTGCCAAACTAATAAACAATATACAGCACTTTTATTGTATGCTACGCATTTTAGCTGTGTATATAATTATCTATTTAACAGCTTCAAGATAAACACAGTTAACATTAATTATATTATTGGCCATTGTGGGATTTTGTATTTTTGCATTGTTCTTCGAACTCAAGGGACTATTGTTCAAACCTTGTGTAGGTGTTTATTAGGTCAATGCCTTGATGGAAATCGAAGATGAGCATTTTCTGCTTAGGGTAAGCAGAGGTAAGCAATTTGATTGGTAGTTGCTTTGGGACACAGTAACTTTACTTCCGGTCAAGTGAGAGTGATCAAACTTGGTGTATAGTTTCATTACATCAATACCTTGACTAAGTTCGATAATAAACATTTTCTGCTCAGGGTAAGCAGAGCGATAAGCAATTTGATTGATCGAGACTTTGGAACACAATAACTCTCCTTCTACGGTAATTGAGCAACAATGTTCACACTTGGTGTAGGTTTTTTTTAGGTGAATGCCTTGATGGAGTTTGATGATGAACGTGGTCTGCTTACAGTAAGCAGAGATAAGCAATTTGATTGTTTGATGCTTTGGGACACGATAACTTTAGTTCTAATAAGTGAGAGTGATGAAACTTGGTGTATAGTTTCATCACATTAATAACTTGACTAAGTTCTATAATGAATATTTTCTGCTCAGGGTAAGCAGAGCGATAAGCAATTTGATTGGTCGAGACCTTGAAACACAATAACTCTCCTAATTGAGGTAGAAAGTTCAAACTTGGTGTAGGCGTTCATTAGTTAAATGCCTAGATGGAGCTCGATGATGAACGTGGTCTGCTTACAGTAAGCAGAGATAAGCAGTTTGATTGGTTGATGCTTTTGGGCACGATAACTTTGATTATAATTAAGTGAGAGCTATGAAAATCCAAGTATAGAATCATTATATCATTACCTTGACCAAGTTTGATGATAATTTTCTGCTTAGGCTACGGAGCGATAAGCAATTTGATTGGTCAAGACTTTGGAACATAACTCTGCTTTTAATTGAGGTAGAATGTTTAAACTTGATGTTCATGAATGTCTTGACTAGTTCAATGATTAACATTTCCCGCTAAAGCTAATTAGCAGAGCTAAGCAATTTCTTTGACTTTGATTCTGTCTGATAGAGAGTGATGAAACTTAGTGTATTATAGTTTATAATCAGTTTGATTGTCGATACTTTTTAAAAAGATAAACTTGCAATTAATTAATATGTGTCGTCTATTTATTTCGGGATTTCGGCAGGGGACATCAGCCTCACTGTTAGCTTGTTTACCATATTTTTGGGGATGTATGTTGATACTTTTTTCTGTTTAAGTCAAGCCTTCATCTATACTCTGCATCGACTTATTTGTGGATGAAGGTAAAAATAAATTGTGTCCAGAACAAATATTTCTAAGACACTCTTGCTCTACTGCCTGATACCTAAATTGTTTCAATGGCATTTAGTAATTGAACTGGAATATACAGGTCCCAATTCTATGGAATACAATTACTGCTTATTACTGAGCAACGTTTCGACTCAGCTTCTCTAGTCGTTATAAAGCAGTGCATCGCTCAGTAAAAAGCAGTAATTGTATTCCATAGAATTGGGACCTGTATATGTCGGATATCTCTCTTTATTTCAGAACGTAATCCCCAATTTAAAATATAATCATAGAGTTTTGAAAATGCCATCAAAATACAGTGTTTTTCTTCCAACATTGTCCAAGAGAAAACCCTCACTTTTCCCACTGAATGTAGATGAGACAACGCTTTAATATTTTATTATTATTTTAGTATATTTTGTGATAAGAAAACACTTTACTAATATTCTCAATTGTAGTTTTGGAAATCAGAATTTTGATCTCATCAATTTATTTCTAGATGGAACTTAGAAGTTCAACCAAGTACCACAACAGCAGAAGTAGAAACAGAAGAAGGTTTAATGGATACATTACCTCTTAATGTCTTTAATAATTATTTCTCTCTTGGAGCAGATGCTCATGTAGCCTTAGAATTTCATGAATCAAGAGGTGAGTTACTGAAATTCTCTTTATATTGGTTTACCAATAGTTCTGATGGCCACGTGCAGTTGTAGAAAGAACTAACATAGATTGTCTTCCACAGATTATACGAAATCGTTAAAGCCACTGATTGTATTTGATGGATTTGGAATCCATTGCAAACTACAATAATTCGAAAGTTGAATCCCAAAGAGGTATATCAAAATGGTTCATTTCTGTTCAGTATTTACAAATATATGATGAATTGAAAATCTGTCAACATTCAGAATTCTTTGCAGATTATATAAACAATCAAGCCCCACTGATAATTATTAGGTAAATTCATTTGATGGGTATCTTATTAATCCATTTGAATCCACATTAGGAGATTATCTACGATATATGGGTTGTTTCCTTAATTAAATGTTATAGATGCATTATGCAAGAGCTAAATCTGCCTGTTGCAGGTCTTTTTTTCTGGCTTAAAATGTTATATAGATATAAATTATTATTTAAACATTTTTTCACTTAACAAATTTCAATATATTCATTTTTCATGATCTATTTTAAAACTATTATTGCAAGAACAACCAGCTTTTTATCTACATATTTAATAATGCATCTTTAAATAGTCAAATTGAGTAAATTATAGCGTGAATTAAGCCATGAAAAATTATATATTGTCTGTAAACTGCAAATGACTTTCAGCAGCTTTAGTAAACTGATGTCTAATTACATGTACCATAATTATAAATGAACATAGATATAAACCATGACAAATATATAGTTATAATAAAAGTTGAGATCTTTAAGATATTTAGATGTTAATACATATCATTCAACTGTTTCAGAGGCAAATCCAGAGAAATTTAATAGCAGATTTAGGAACAAAATGTTCTATGCAGGGGTAAGATATTTATTTTTTAATAAATAATGGTATTATATTATAAATTACAAATCTCTAAACTTAAGAATCTAGGAAAATAGTTTGATTATAATTCACATTTTATTGAATAAATTTTGATTATTTTACATTTAAATTATAGGCTGGTGGGAGAGATTTGTTAAAGCGAAGCTGGAAGGGTTTTGCTGATCATATCAAACTTGTCGTAAGTCTTTATTTTAATGCAGGGATCTTAATCGGCTTGAAGTTCAGTCAAGCCGATTGGTAAAACAATGAACCAGCCACTGTGGTATCATAAATCAATCTACTTTTGCCTAAATTACAACGGGTTAATTATTACTTGTTACAACAGTCATGCCTTAGTGAGAATCGGCCATGTGGTTCATGATCCGAGTAGCCTAATTAGCACATTTAACGATCATTTTGATAATCCGGTAAAAAAACCAAAGCAAGCTTGTTCAGTAAGCTGTTTTAGTAAAAAATAACCCACGTGGTGAAAGAAGATGATCTCGGCTTGGTTTGCCAATTAAGCGTCTTCCACGCTCCGTATGAATATAACTGGGTCTGGATCTATACTTTGATGGATTCACTGACCAATTGTTAGTTAAATTCATTGCATATAATCCCCTGATAGAACACTGAATACACCGAGAAACAGTCATTAATAATATAGAATCTCCAATGCCGAATTCCAATGACATGTGACATATTATTAGTTGGAATTAGGTCAATAAACCAGTTAAGATTTTTTTTATTTTGTACATATTCTTACAAAGGCTTAATTTTTAAAATATTGTCGTTTTTATACGCCCACATTTTCATGTGGACGTGCATTGTCGTCGTCTCTGTCCGGACGTCCACAATTGTTTGCGAACACTCTACAGGTCACAATTTTTATCCGATTTCAATGAAACATGAAATACAGGTTTTTCAACCTAAGATCTTGGTTCCTTTCGATATTGGCATGTATCGGACCGTAACGTCATGGATTATGGCCCCTGATTGTACGAAAAATCGCATTTTTAGCCTGTGAACACTGTAGAGGTCACAATTTCTATCCGATTTGGTTTAAACTTGAAATGTATGTTTAAAACCAACAGATCACGGTTCCTTTCGATATTTGCAGGTATCGGACCATAACTTCCGGAATTATGGCCCCTGATTCACGAAAAATTACGTTTTTACCTTGTGGACCCTATAGAGGTCACAATTTTTATCCAATTTAAAAAAAAGTTTGAATATATCACCGTTACACCCTAAGGATGGTTGAGTTTGAAATTCATAACAATCGGACCGAAACTGGCGGATAAAATGACCGCCCCTCGTTCATAAATAATGTCAAAATATTGTGTATCAGGGTTGTGGACCCTCTGGAGGTCACAATTTTCATCTGATTTTGATGAAACTTGAAATGCTTGTTTATAACCCAAATATCTTGGTTCTTGTCGATATTCACGCATATCGGACCATAACTTCCTGAATTATGGCCCGATTGGACCCTATAGAGATCACAATTTTTATTGAATTTAAAAATCCAACCTTGTGGGTTTTCTCAGGGTCCTCCGGTTTCCTCCCACTGCTAAAAGACCCCTACACGCAAGCGAATTATTGAAATAAAATTAAACCATATGTTGGTCCTGAAATGACCTAGTTTTTGTCGAGTGGACGTTAAACCCCATTTCTCTCTCTCTCTCTCTCTCTCTCTCCCTCCAATTTGAAAAAACATTCCTTATTTTGTCTGAGTTTAAATTTCATGAAAATTGGACCAAAACTGCCGGACAAAATGGCCGCCCTTCGTACCCAAATAGTATAAACATCTGGTAAATCAATGTTGTGGACCCTCTGGAGGTCACAATTTTCATCTGATTTTGATGAAACTTGAAATGCATGTTTATAACCCAAATATCTTGGTTCCTGTCGATTTTCGTACATATTTAATCGTAACTTCCTGAATTATGGCCCCTGATTGCACGAAAAACCGTGTTTTTAGCTTGTGGTCACAATTATTATCTGATTTAAAACAAAACGTTGGAATATATCACCGTTACACCGTAATGTTTGTTGAGTTCGAATTTCGTGAAATCCGACTAAAACTGCCGGACAAAATGGTCGCCCCTCGTACGCAAGTAGTGTAAACATCTGGTAAATCAATGTTGTGGACCCTCTAGAGGTCACAATATTGATCTGATTTCGATGAAACTTGAAATACATGTTTATAACCCAAAGATATTGGTTCCTTTTGATATTCGCACATATCAGATCGTAACTCCCTGAATTATGGCCCTTGATTGAACAAAAAATCATGATTTTAGCTTGTGGTCCCTGTAGAGGTCACAATTTTTATCCGATTTAAAAAAAATGTGTGAAAATATCACCATTACAGTTACACACTAAGATCTTGGTTTCTTTTGATAATTGCAGATACCTGAACTGAACTTCCTGGATTACGGCCCCTGATTGTTCAAAAAATCGCATTTTTAGCTTGCGGATTCTCTAGAGGTCACAATTTTTTTCCAATTTTAAAAAACATTCAAATACATCACCATTCCACCATAATTTCGGGAATATGGAAATGAAACTGCCTGACAAAATGGCCACTGTTTGTATGCAAATTGTGTAGAAGTGGGTAATATGAAGGTTGTGTACGCTCTATCTACAGGTCACAATTTTTATCCGATTTTGATAAACTTAAAACAGATCTTTATATCCCAAAGATCTCAGTCCCTTTTGATATTTGCACATTTCAGGACATAACTTTCTTGATTATTGCAACTGATTGTACTAAAAATCACGTTTGTTTTTAGCTTGTTCTCTATCCATCTCAGGTAAAATGTGGGCGTATCCTGCCTGGCAGCCGCTGTTTAAAGAAGGCTACGAGTGTACATCAGAATCGTACAGAATTTTAATTATGGCTGTCACTGTCACATGACAATTGTGCCGTTTGTCTTTCATCGACGAATGAATAAAAACTTTTGCTAGTTTTAGATCATCGATTTATAAAATGCAAACGTTTCATCGAATAAACGAAGACAGTAATTTATTCTGGAATATTACTGACGTAAATTAAATATGGAAAATTTTCAAAAGTGTACCTGTCGTTATTTTTGTGGCAATAACATACATTAAAATACGACATTCTCCATAACAAATTACCAAGAATTATTTTTGATGAAGTCTAGTTATATTAAAGGGAATGTAAAGCTTACAGTTAACCCATTTCCTACGGGTCCTCATTTGACCCAATTCTGGCCGGTTCATTTCAAAATGGATTAAGAACCCTGTTGTAATGTCTTATGATTGTATACAAAAAAACATTAGAGTGAATCTACCTATTCTATAGTTCATATTGATGCTTAAAAAAAAATTAAGTTCAGAACTTCTCTTAACATTATAGTTTGAAAAAAATTATCGAATGAAATATATATTAATAAAATATGCATTGTTACTTTGGAAATATTTCAGTGTGATGGGGTTGATTTAACTCAGAAAATACAAGATATGAAATTACATTGCCTTTTAATTCTTAACATTCCAAGGTATAAATTATACTACATTTGCATTGTATATTATAAAGACCCCCCCCCCCCCCCCAAAAAAAAAAAAGAAAAGAAAATCATCATCATTACTCATTGGTTTGCATGAAATATGTATAAAGAATCTATATTTGATACCGATATATATAAACATACAATTGTAAACTATATCAGCAAAATTCATTTCTTTGATCATAAATTAAATTAAATTAAATGGGTTCTTGCACAATTTATTTCACCCTAAAAACCACATACGCAGGTCACAATTCTATTGAATCCAATTACTGTTTTATTACTGAGCGACTTTTCAACCAGGCTTCTCTAGTCTTTATAAAAAACACCACTAGAGAAGCCAAGTCGAAACATAGTTCAGTAATAAAACATGAATATCACATGAATCCAAATTTGTCAGCATGTGACATCCATTTAATATTACATAAGTACTGTGATATTCTGTTATTCTTAATACAAGTTATTTTCTAATTATTCTTCATATTCTTGTCTTTGTGTTCCAATAGATATGCTAGTGGTACTCTTCCATGGGGAAATCCTAATGCTGTAGGATTTGAACATCAACGACATGATGATGGATTTTTAGAGATTATTGGATTTACATACTCGTCATTGGTAAGTTAGTCTTTCATTGTCAAAATGATATTAATATACTTCAAAATGGAGCCTTGGAGGTCTTGAATTTCACGTCAGAATCTTTCTAGGAGTTTACATAGAGGTAATAATTTCTATCTGATTTAAAAAACCGTTACAATATATCACCGTTACACTCTAAGGATGGTTGAGTTTGAATTTTTTTTTTTTTTTGTAAACAGTATTTTATTTCATTTGAAATTGGAGAACAGGCTGGGAAAATGAGACCAAAACTGCCAGACAAAATGGCCGCCCCTTGTACGCAAATAGTGTAAACATCTGGTATATCAAAGTTGTTAACCCTCTAGCTAGAGGCCACAATTTTGATTCGATTTTGATGAAACTTGAAATGCAAGTTTATAACCCAAAGATCTTGGTCCCTTTCATTATTCGCACAGATCTGATCGTAACTTCCTGAATTATGGTCTCTGATTGTACACAAAATCGCGTTTTTAGCTTGTGGTCCCTCTAGAGGTCACAATTATTATTCGATTTAAAAAAAAAAACGTATCACCATTACACTGTAATGTTTGTTGAGTTCGAATTTCGTGAAAATCAGGCCGTACAAAATGGATGCCCCATTGTATGCAAATAGTGTAAACATCTGGTAAATCAATGTTGTGGACCCTCTAGAGGTCACAATTTTGATCCGATTTCGCTGAAACTTAAAATACATGTTTATAACCCAAAGATATTGGTTTCTTTCGATATTCGCGCATATCGGATCGTAACTTCCTGAATTATGGCCCATGATTGTACAAAAAATTACGTTTTTAGCTTGTAGTCCCTGTAGAGGTCACAATTTTTATCCGATTTAAAAAAAATAACATGTGAATATATCACCATTACACGCTAAGATCTTGGTTCCTTTTGATAATCGCGGATACCCGAACTTAACTTCCTGGATTATGGCCCGATTGTTCAAAAAATCGCATTTTTAGCTTGCAGATTCTTTAGAGGTCACAATTTTTTTCCGATTTTAAAAACATCACCATTCCACCATAATGAAGGTTGAATTCGTATTTCGGGAAAATTGAAATGAAATTTCCCGACAAAATGGCCGCTCTTTGTATGCAAATTGTGTAGAAGTGTGTAATATGATGGTTGTGGACCCTCTAGAGGTCACAATTTTTATCTGATTTTGATGAAACTTAAAACATATCTTTATATCCCAAAGATCTCTGTCCCTTTTGATAATTGCACATTTTAGGCCATAACTTTCTGGATTATTGCCACTGATTGTACAAAAAATCATGTTTGTTTTTAGCTTGTTCTCTATCCATCTCTTGCAAAATGTGGGCGTATCCTACCTGGCAGCCGCTGGTTTACAGAGGGGTGAACTTCATGGAAGTATGTTATGAAACTGAGAAAAACAAGATAAGCAAAACAAATTTTAATTAAAAGAACAATCATTTGGTCATTTGGAAGTGAAGTTTTGTAACGATATGAGCACTAAAAGTGCATGAAAACACAGAGGGAAATTGAAATGGAATTTCATCCAAAAGACATGGGTGTTTAAGTATCGTCAGTTCAAGGTCTTAGTGTGTGCCACCCAGTAAAAGCAGCTTAAATAAAGTGGATCAGTGTCCCAGGAATCACAAAACATCAGTAACATGTGCTGCCACCACGTGCCTGAATAACTGCAGCCACTCTTCTTGGCATACCCCTAACCAGGTTCCTTAATTGTTCCATCCGTATCTGCTGCCACTCCTCATGAAGAGCTGGGTTCATATCAGGAGACATTGCTGGCCATGGAATTCGTGTCACAGCATTTTTTGCCAGATGTTGGTTTACAGCACGTGAACGATGGGGTTGTGCATTGTCGTCCATGAACAAGGGTCTTGTGGCAAGTCTGTGGTCATCAAAATGATCAATAATTACAGGATCCAGAACCTCCTGAATTGAGCGAGTGCCTGTGAGTGAACCTTGTATAGTCACCAAATCCAGTCTACAGTCGTAGGAGAAGACTCCCCAAACCATTACGGATCCCCCGCCAAATAGTACTCTTGGCAAAATGTTCCTGGGGGCAAGACGTGTATTCCTAGTCCTCCATACACGGGCTCTCCCATCAACAGCATGTAGGAGGAAATGACTTTCGTCGCTCTAGTGTATTCTCCTCCATGATCTTACGCTGACGCTTGTGGTGATTTGTGAGCTGTGGATGCCCGATGACCCTTCTGGCTCTTCAGCTTTGAGACAGTTTCTCAGTCTGTTTGCTCAAGCGTTGATGAGGTAACCAGTCCTGTTTCAGAAGGGTGCTGGAACCAAAAGGCTGGCGTCTTAACATGCCGTAACAGAACTCTATCCTCCTGGGGCATGGTCCTGGGAAGGTCCTTTACATCATTTGTTTGCGCATGTTTCCTCACCAGACGGCTTATTACGGTGTACTGAATCTGAGTTCTTCTTGCAATTTCCTTGTAAGAAAGTCCTGCCCGATGAAGTCCAATGATCTGCCATCTCAATGCATCAGAAATTCTCCTACATGCCATTGTCAATCAGAAGTGCAAAAAAGTGATAATGAAGTCAATACCGATCCTTAAATACCCAATGCTTGTGGTTGATCGAAACTTTGGTGTGTGCAACACATGGGTGCATGTCGTTGCGTTCGTGAGAGACATTTTCCAATAAGTAACACCTTATTTTATCACAAATATACCACTATTTGATTTGCCATCATGAGGATTGAAATTTGGTTTCAACATATACCAATAATTCAGCTTTTATTTGGGGGGTGCTTAACTTTTTTTACTGTGTATAGATGTCCACGAAAATTTAGATAAAATTCTTGATGAACTGGTCTCGCAACAAGAATGTCCTGTGTTTGAATCAAAAGAGAATCTTTTGGATTTTTTAAATCAGGTTCCCACTTGCTGGTTGTGTTGAGTTGTTTTGATGGCACATGTAGATTTTGGTCCACCGTTCACACATTGGCTTGCTCATAAAAGAACCCATGGCAAAGTATAAACAGAAAAACCACTCTGTCAGGGTAAACAAAAACTATCATCTCGTACATTGCATATGTAGCGATACAACATTGAACCCGATTATATTCCATTATACTTTGATAAAGGATCCCTATCTTTGTTAGCCACGATGGTGCAGAAAAGTAGGGCGTTAAACCGCATTTCATTTGACGAAGGATCCACTATGTTTTAGTTTCTTGGTGTTTTTGTAGGCTGCGTTATATGTTGGAGGTCATGGTGAAAGATTAATGCAGTGTCGTGAGGTCAAACTAACAACATACAAATCCATGCCTATGCAAGTAGACGGAGAACCATGTAAATTACGACCATCATTGATTCGGATCAGTTTCCGAAACCAAGCCAACATGGTGATGAAACCAAAGAGAAGGGGCTCCATGCCCATTGCAAATGAGTAAGTATTAACTCTGTTATAGAATTGATAGTATTGCGTTTCACGAATTAAAATTTTAATGCAGATCTTTCTCTGATGTTGTAATAAATGATTTGCATACATACATACATACTTTTCTACATAATTTTATTTTGGCTGTCACTGTATTCATTGTTATTCGTTTTGCTAAGGGAGGGGAAGCAACTCCATGTTATAACCCTGTTGTTCTTTATTAAAGTAAAAAAGGAATATATTTAACTGAAGTCGGGTAAGTGAGTGTGCCTCACTATTTCTTCTGCAGAAACTGTTTATATATCACCTTGATTTGTAGATATTTTGATATGCTTGATGACTGAGCTAACACAATTGTATTTTTTTAAATTAATTTTTAACAAAAATAATAAGAATATTTACTAGATAAAGATCACTTTAAAGCGGATTGTTTTCAAGAATTTAGGGATATTTTTGTACTTCATAAACTCGAGATTTTTTTTTTATTTGTTGAAATATATTTTGAGTAGGAGTGTAAGAGTTGTAGGTTTTTCATGAATCTTAGTCGAATCCTTTTACTATCAATCCTACTATACTTGCATTTTTGAAGCATTTTTGTTGTATTTCAGTTTCAAAACACAATACGCCTTGCTTTTTTTATGAAATCACTAGATTATCATTTTAAGTTTGAACTGACTTTCTTTCTTTATCTCCCAGTCAACTTAAATTCCATTGTCTTTCAATTAACACATTTTGATACATCAATTTCATGAAGAAATTCATTGTCCAGATTGATTATTAGTAGGATTGTATTCATTTATCAGTTAGTCAATAGAGAAAGAGAAAATCTAGGAAAAATAATAATTTGTAGAGAGTTTATGTCAGCCATATAGAAATGTTTTCTCGTTAAACTGAATGTTTTTTTTTATTAGCTGAAATAAATATAAAAATTAGCTCTATAGAAAAATCGGAAATTACTAATTGGAGTTGGACCAAATAATTCAGCATTTTATAAATAAGCATATAATGTACACTAGTTATCTAAATATAAACATAATCATATATTTATATTCTCTCGGCATGCAACATTATATCATATAATTAACAGCCCTTTATTTCAGCTACAGATGGGGGTTAAGATTGACTGTATCAACCCAGCTTTAGTCCTGATTTTGCTTTTTTCAGTCGCCCTTCCGTTCCGGAACGATTACGAATCCAAGTGAGTCGTATCAGCATGACCGATTATGAGGTGTTACATTATGATAAAGACAAATTGAGAGAAGCTTGTAAGTTTGTTTGAGTGCATGACTCCTAATGCAGCTTGTGAGCATAGCATGCTGGTACATATAGGAATCGTAGTTAGACTTGGTATTATGGGAGACATTCTGTACTTAGGTGGTAGAAAATTAATCTTGTATCAAACCTATATCATTCTTTTAGCTAACTAACTCTTCTTATAGCGCTGGTATTAAACAGTTCACCCATAGGTCTTCATTTTATTGAAATTTAAATTTTTCATTAATTTGATAATTTAAAATATTCATTCGATGTCCAAGAACGAAAAAAAAAAAAAAAGAATCTTCCTTTTTCACAGATGCACATACTTTTTTTTTTTTTCTTTTAAAATAAATGATCAAAATCACGTCATTAATTGCACATGGTCATAATTTTGCATGGTTTGAAATTATTAGAGACAATCAAACTAACATCACAACAAAATGGTTCACCGACACTCACTTAAATGATAGTAGTTCATGTCAAGTAGCGTTTTAGATTAGATTGAAACAGCACCATTCACTATACTAGCTTAAATAATTTAACACGCACTATATTTTGAAATAGCTTTAAGTTAACAATAACTAACAAAGAATTTACAAAATAACTGTATCTTAGTGCTTTGGGGAGAAAAGGGTCCCAGGTTAATTTAAAATCAGAAACTATGTTTTAAATCTTGAAATATATTGTGGATAAATATACAGTACCCTACCCATGGGTTTCCTTTCCTGGATTTATGTAGTGTAGAAAACAAAACAAATGATTGCCTTAGTTTCCCCCATTTTGATCCTAATTTGTTTTAAACCTGAAACATTGAATATATATTTCCTAAAATGACACATCCTTGTATGATAATAAATAACACAATTTAGGGAATGAAGTTTTCCCTTATTCATAGAACCTGTATAAACCCTTAAACATTCATGAGTGAGCATTGATCTTTGAGAATGAATATTTCACCTTTGGATTGAATCTTTTACCTTGAGAAATGACCGTTTTCTCTGTGTCTTGCTATATCTATTGGGTTAAAACACAGTATTTGTGACAAAAGTCTCTCATCAGGGTGAACACATAATTGCCTTGCAATTCTAAGTATCAACAGTTCAATATTTTGGTCATTAAAATATATGTACTGTTTTTGCTTCAGCAGCTGTTGCAAATGTGAAACTTTTTAAGTATGGGTCACTTTATGGTTACGGACACTAAGTGAAAACAATCGACTTCAAATTCAAATGAATAAAATATTTTAGATTTTAAAATTGCACATGCATTGAAAATTATAATATTACTGAAGATCACATTTTTATTGTAAGGTTTCAGTGTTTTTCAAGCACATATCCACTGTGATTCTGAAAATTTGAGAGAAACACATGTTTAGGTAATTTGGTCATAACTGGATCCCTTAATACACTGTCTATTTGTATAACTTAACTACCAAAATTTATTATAGGAAATATTCCATAAGCATGTGTTTATATCCTTTCTAAAAAAGTCACAGAAAATATATTAATTTGGTTTCAAAATAGAGTTTATTGAAGTGAGACAGCATATCACAAAAAAAATGTCTATTTTTGAGACATGTTTATTGCTGTAACTCAACAATGAAGATATATATTGACTTGAAATTTGCTGGTCATTAGGAGAGGTCATTATTACAAATGTTGAATAAAAGAAATAGTCTGTAAATTCTGGAAATTGTTTCCAAACTGTATATATAACATCAAAAAATGGAAAAATACTGTGTTTTAGCCGATTGGGTTTGGAAGGTAATAATCTGTTTTTCTAATTTCAATTAACTAGATTAAATTATGTAATGGATTATTGATCTATTCTTTTAAAACTTTTGCAATTGAAATTAGATATTGCCACTTTGAATACTTAATATCATGATTTGAATAAAAACACGTTGAAACTAAATGAACTACTAAGTTAGTTTGATTCAAAAACTTTAATAAGAGATCATTTGTGTTCACTGATTCAAGTATGAAATTTAAAGTAATTGAATTAATTGTTAACGATAACAGTCAATATCTTAAAAAGTGTAAATTAGAAAAAAATTAGAATGATTAAGACAAGAATTAAAATTGAGTATGTGAAGAATAAACATACATGTATGTATAACTGTATATCTATGTAAACAGCTATTCCATTGGGTATAATTGTTGTTGAGAATAATGCTGATCTGGAGCAAGTAAGAGGACAAATCGACAAGATTCAGGAGGTAAGAATGTCTATCTTTTGTTTTTGTATTTATTTTGCTGATGTCCCTGGAAGCAAAGTCTTTACTACAAGAGTAATTAGAACAGTTTGCTTTAATTTACATGCTTCTGAATATGCTTGGAATAATTAACATGTATCTAGAAAGGATGTAGAAAATATACATGCTTGGGTTAATAGACATGATTTTGAATATGCTTGGAATAATGGACATGATTTTGAATATGCTTGGAATAATGGATATATTTCTGGAATAATGAACCTGCTTTCTTGACTTACTTTGAGTGTCGGGGGAACTGATAAATCCTCAGGTTTCCTTCCCATGCAAAAGACCCCTACGAGCAAATTAAACCATGTTAGTCCCAAAATGACAGTTTGTGTTGATGAATGTTAGTTAAACTCCATTGCTCTTTTTTTCTCTTGACATACTTTGATATGATTCTAATGTGTTTAGAATAATGGACATGCATCTGGACTTGTTTGGAATAATTGATATACTTGAGAAAAGACATTATCTTCCAAATATTTCATCAAATGAACAGGTTTTCTGTATGGTTATAAAATAATTAAAATACATCTACAGGTAGTTCAAACATATTGAATATTGTTACTAAGAATGAATTGCTTTCATTTAAATAGAGTCTACTAAATGGTGGTGAATCTGGTAATGATAATCAGGTGTTGTCTCCTAAATGGTGCTTTCTTGATTGTAAGTACATATAGTATTGTCATTATTTTCTTAAAGAAATGATTATTGGAATTTCGAAGAATTAATCCACAATTCGATGTTTGCTTTTGGATATTTATGCATAGATATAAGCTTGGTAATGCTATTGATACTCCAGATTTCTAAATTGATCTGCCAGTGGTCTTATTTTTCAATTTGTATAATAGAGCAGTCCGACCATTGAGCAAACGGGACAATAGTAAAAAATCTTCTTTCAGGTGTATTAAATATCCATTGATTTCAACACTTTCATTTCTTGAATTACTGTACCTCATTAATTTGGGTCAAAAATAAATTTTATTGTATTTTATCTTTAGTTTGTTTTGTTGTATATTTTATGGCTATAGATAAAGCTAGTGTTAAGACAACTAAGCAAAAAAATTAAACTAAAATAAGTGTACTCAAGAATTCATTTGTGTAGTACATATCCCATCACTAATCAAGTATTTAACGCATCAGATCAACTCAATTCAATACTTTATTTTGACCTAATTTTGTTTTGTATTTAGCCACAACAGCAGAGCGATTTTTTCGGATAGACAAAGCCCAGGAACATTTACATTATATCACCGATATATCTTCTGAAGATCTCTACATTCTTGACCCTGACCTGGTCACAAGTTCAAAATCATCAGTTGTGAAGGTTGAAAATGGTCATTCATTGCCAACCAATGTTAAAATAGGTGAAACTTACCAACCAGACCAAGAACACGAAAATGGAAATTTAATTTTTCGTTTTTCATTACCAGTGACACCACCAAAATCTCCAAGTTGTACCACAAGGTAAATTCTGGCAGTCATTAGTTTTCATCAGTTATTTGACAATATTTTCTTAAATTTTGCAAAGCACACTTGCTGATTGTCCTGTCTTGATCCTTAAATAACATTCAGCTATGCAGCCTATTCTGTCTTCAGTAGGCACCTATTATATATGCTATATTCTTCATTTATTGAAGAATCTTGCTCTCTATGCGATTTATTTATATGGAAATGCAATGTGTTGACTTGATTATATCTCTTGTGGCTGTATGTTTTAGTAGTAAGCATAACTTTCCATTGCTTAGCAATTCTAGTGTCTTTATTGAGGCAGTATTGTTCAGAAAGTAACAGCAGTTTTCAGAAACTAAATCCTCAAAATTCAAAATGGAAGAAATTCGGACTAGTGCTGAAAATTCAAATAATCAAATCAACACATTGTTTCAAGAACTGCCCTTGCTCTCCACACTAGGGCCGAAACGATTTACCGGTGGACCTGTGTGTACCATAAAAACGATGAACGATACATTTTCAAATAACACACTTTTATGGAATAACAACGATACATTTTATAAGAAAATCAATAGCCGCAAATTATTTCAATTTGAGGTTCATGGTATATTTCACATTGTATCGCAATATTTATTCAATAAATTAGTTGGTAGAACTTATCTATCAGTTGAGTGTAAAGAAAACGTGTCCCTGCTGTCAAGACTTCATATCATTTCAAAAACTAACCTACTAATCTCGTGCAAAATATGCCCCAGAAACTTGATAAGACAATATATTCCATTGGACAAAATACTGTAAGCCATCAATTTTACACCAATTAAATCGCATTTGACAATCATTTCGTCTTTTGTGATTCCTGTGGCCTTTACAAAAAGTGTTAAAATATTTATTTAACTTTCAGCGTTATTTTTCTTTTGACTATTATTACACATAGGCATAGTCTGTTCCCCAATCCAAATTCAGATTTAATGAATTTCAAAGTGAAAGCGTGTATCATGATGCACCCATATTGGTGGGCTAGGACATGATACTGTATCATATCGTGGCACAGCGTATCGTTTCAGCTCTAATCCAAACTAACATAGTAATAACAAGATTTACCCAATATGTCAATGTTCCATGTTCTAACTAGGTACCAATTTTATCGTTAATGTCTTTATCAAGGACAGCCATAGTTTATGAATATATTTTGAAAAATCTTTACTTGTATACTGTTAAATGTTTATGTTTGTATATATAAATTGTACACACAAAGTATTTATTATTTTTGTTGAATATTTTACACCACGATAAAAATAGTGATATATTTTATTATTTATTTCATTTCTTATGAAAATTATAATCATTTTATGATTTGCATTGAATTTTTCATTTCACTCATAGCTTTCCCGGTATTCTACCTATACATCGAAATTTTGAAAGTTCAGAAAATCTTCTTGTTCCGACTCAACCCGGCTCCAATAACAGGTTTATTAACCTTACTAAACTGTTATATTATAAACCTAATAAATCATGTATGTTCAAATATGAAAAGATGTGACAGAAGAAAAAATACTGGGGAACATGATAAAAAAAAACAATCTTTAAGTCAGTCTGGGATGTGCACTGAAAGTAGAAATGAAATGAGTTTTAATGTTGACATAAACAATAAGATTTTTGGCACTGACCTTGATGTAGATAACACGTATATGATGTATATTATACATTTCTTCTCATAATTGAACTTACCGTTTAGCTGCCCCTTTTACCCAAAACTTACAGGTGTTTGCTGGTGTTGATATTTTGGTGTTAGTATATAAATCATTTCGTTGTAATTTTCTATTTTGTTTACTTTTCATTTTTCTTAATTATTTTTTATCTTAGTTCTTTTCTTTTCTTTTAATTATCTATTATCTTTTAATTCTATATTTTCACATTTGAATATGTTGGTTTATTGTTGTCACCCATTCTGTCAATCCTTTGCATCGGTGTGGGTTTATTTTATGATGCAGCCCATTGCATATGTTGTGTTGCTATACAACTCATTTGAGTTAATTAATTATACATTTGAAATAATCTTAATTGCTGTTATATTCCATGCTGGCTTATCCTCAATGCTTTCTATATATATCCTTCTTACTTCATATTTAGGCCAAATAAATTTAATTTTTAGTTTTTCAGGATTTTGATAAATGTGATCGCTATTTTATTTTAAATTTCAAAACTTAAAAATTTGGACCTAAGTAAAAACTTTTTTTTTTATATGCCCACATTGAAATGTGATCATATATTGTCATCACCCCTATCTATCAGCCAGTCGGACGCTCTAGAGGCTAAAATTATACTTGATTGAAATTATGCGCAGTATTTATGTTCATGAGACAAAGAATCTTATTGATGATCAACAATTTCAGAGTTGTTGCCCTTGATCAAGCTAAAAAATCTTAGTCTTAGTTGACCGTCTGGTTGATTTGAAATTTATACACAGTGCTTATATGTGGATGAGATTTCTGATAACTGGAACACATAGTTATCTGATACTGGTACATGTACATGCCTTGTAATTGTATATGCTTGATAAATGTTAGCACTATAAGCCACTCAAATTTTAATTATTTCCAATAATTACTTGTACTTGTAGACGCTCTAGTTAGTGTATTGTAAATATTCCCATTACCTACAAAAGATTATTTATGCAACAACCTTGTGGACTCCATGGACAACTTGGCTGCTGTGGGCGTACATTTCATTGCCTGGCAACCTATCTGTAACTTTTATTTCGACAAATAAGAAGCAAAAATTGTTACGGCCACCCCAAAAAAACAAAAAAAATCAAATTTGATTGGCCTTGTAAGATGGTTATTGTACTAAGTTTTGAATACATGAATTCTTCATTGGTTTGTGATGACCCTGTAAGCTTTATTGTAGAATAGATGTCACATAGTTGAACATCCAGTTACATAAATAATACACTAATAATCTCTTCACTAAATGACATCTCAAATCCAAATTTTTCTTGAGCTGTGTATTATAGTCACATTATCTGATATCCACTGTATTGACAGCACAACTGTGGTTGTCCATTTTAGTGATATTTTGACAGATTTTAATGTCATAGTTGATTTTATATTTGAATATGTTTGTACAACCTTTACAGTTGTTCGGTTCGAACGTAAAAGATTACTTGGCAGTTGGAATTCGATATAAGAGTAGGCCGTAATGCCGCTGTCCGGGCAAAATTTCCCTCATAGTACACTGTATGGCATATGCCCGTCTTCATTAGCCCAGTGAGAGCAGAACAGTAAACCCCATTTCATTTCATTTTCATTTGCATAAAATAAAAATATTAAAAAAACTAGATCTCTGATGCAGCTATGACGAGTTTTAAAAACTTTGAAAAATGAATATTTGACTACTTATACCAATTGAATTTGTTAAAAGAGATCCAGAATTTTTAGTTAATGTATTACTCAGCAGATATTTGAAAATGACAACCTTATTTGCATGTCAATTAAATCCTATTATGTACTAAAATGTTCACCTTCATAAGTAAATTGGTCTGAAACGATGAAAAATATAGTTTTTATACGCCTACATTTTCATGTGGACGTATATTGTCGTCACAATTCTTGAAATATAGGTTTATCTCCCTAAGATCTCGGTTCCTTTCGATATTGGTATGTATTGGTTCGTAACTTCATGGATTATGGCCCCTGTTGTACGAAAAATCACGTTTTTAGCTTGTGGACCCTATAGAGGTCACAATTTTTATCTGATTTGAAAAACCGTTACAATATATCACCGTTTCAATAGAACCATAACTGACGGACAAAATGGCCGTCCCTTGTACTCAAATAGCGTAAAAATATGATATATCAAGGTTTTGGACTATCTAGAGGTCACAATTTTCTTCTGATTTTGATGAAACTTGAAATGTAAGTTTGTAACCCAAAGATCTTGGTTCCTTTTTATATTCGCGCATATCGGATTGTAACTTTCTGAATTATGGCCCCTGATTGTACGAAAAATCACATTTTTAGCTTCGGGTTCCTCTCTAGAGGTCACAATTATTATCCGATTTATAAAAACGTTCAAATATATCACTGATAGACAGTAATTTTGGCTGAGTTCGAATTTCGTGAAAATCAGACTAAAACTGCTGGACAAAATGTCCACCCCTTTTACGCAAATAGTGTATAACATCTAGCTGGTATATCAAAGTTGTTGACTCTCTAGAGGTCACAATTTTGATTCGATTTCGATGGAACTTGAAATACATGTTTATAACCCAAAGATATTGGTTCCTTTCTATATTCACCCGTATCGGATCATAATTTCCTGAATTATGGCCCCTGATTGTGCGAAAAATCACGTTTTTAGCTTGTGATCCCTCTAGAGGTCACAATTATTATCCGATTTAAAAAAATGTTTGAATATATCACCATTACACTATAATTTTGATTGAGTTTGGATTTAAAAAAACGTTAAAATATATCACCATTCCACCATAATGAATGTTGAATTCGAATTTCGGGTAAATCGAAATAAAATTGCCCAACAAAATGTCTGCTCTTTGTACGCAAATTGTGTAAAAGTATGCAATATGAAGGTTGTGGACCCTCTAGAGGTCACAATTTTTATCCAATTTTGATGAAACTTAAAACATATCTTTATATCCCAAAGATCTCAGTCCCTTTTGATATTTGCGCATTTCAGACCATAACTTACTGGATTATTGCCCCTGATTGTACAAAATATCCTGTTTGTTTTTAGCTTGTTCTCTAGCCATCTCTTGCAAAATGTGGGCATATCCTGCCTGGCAGCCGCTGGTTGTCTAGGTGATGTCAATTCATTGTCAACAAAATGTTAAAAGAAGATAATGGAAATAATCACATAGCACAAATTTGATAAACTGGACAATAATTAAACTATTATCAAGCCTTATTAACATGGAAGAACCTTCAAACGTTGCTGAAAATTACCACAAATATGTATATCGGAATGTTATTTGAGAACAATATTTGTTTAACAAAAGGTGAACATTTTATTAAACACTTGAAAAATATGTATTTTTATACAGGCAAAGAAGTTAAAGGGGATATATAGATGAAAAATGGTTGACTATTTTGCTAGAAGCTATTTTTTATATCTATGTGATGATGTATGGTTAAAATATTTGTTGACTGAAATGAAAAATCTACATTTTAAACAAATACTGGACAAAGCACATTTGAAAAAATATTTGGTGACAAAAGATTGTTTTAAATAGTTTTTGGAGTTATTCCTATGTAAAATACAATATAAAAAATTTGATTAAAAAAAATGTTATTTTATAATGTCAAATATTATAAATTTGTGGGCTAAATATCTTAGATTAGTCAATAAAGCTAAGTAATCATGTTACCTGAACAGTGGTGTGAATAAACATAGGCCAGATGTATATGTATATCTTGTAGTGCATTTGACATAACATGACCCATTTCCTCTGATATTACTGTAATCAAAAAACTGAAAAAAAAATTTTTTGAGCATGTAACATGTAAAACAGTTGTATATATATTTTGATCAGATTTATATGGAGTTGGTATGTAGCGTAAGCTTGTATAATAAAACTGGGTTTCATGCGATACCACTTTTATGCTGTCGAGTATTGTTTTATGTGCTCTTTAATAATATCATTAATACTTTTCAAACTATTCTATTCCCTTTTTTGTTTTATTGTTTGGAATGTTAATTTATATGTTACTGATATACAGCCATTGTCTAATCTTATAGGATATATGTATTTAAAGTAAAACCATGGTCAGGAAATGTGTATACTTTATAATATATGTTTATTAACTTGAAATATTTTTCTTTTTTTTAATTTCTCTTTAAGAAATTATAAAAGATCAGATTTCTTTGTCAAACAAAAAGAAGAGATTATTAATTTACAGTAGAACCTAACAGTAAACATTTTCAATTTTTTTTATTACAGTTCAGAACCGGGCACACCCAATTCACCGAGTGCTCAGTCAAAACATTACCACTTTACAGCCGTTTCTAGTGCAACAGCTGAAAATAAAGTCAACACCAAACCATCACCATTTGATAAACGTAAATTTCTTTGTATATAAAGTATTAGGAAGATGAATATGATAACAATTCTTATGGATAAGTATAAAATGTTTTGAGGATGTCCACATGAGTTTAAGATATTATTATCCTGAAGAACTGTGGCAGTTTGAAAGTAAATAGATAAATAACTTAATTAAGTATTAGCAGATGTGCTTCAGGATGATTAATCTGTGCTTTGAAAATATGAAATCTGTATGTATTCTTGTGAATCTGAAAAGATTGTATGAGGAAGATGAGCAAGAGCACCTTCAGCTATCATGATCATCCACGTCATTGGTTTTGGTATTCAGTCGCATGAATGGAAACCGTGCTTCATCACGTTACATGTATCTATAAGAATTGTTGTTGATTATTAACTTATTATTACTTTTAACTTCTTGGTAATATGTTGTCACCTTGTCTTTCTAGCTGTCCATCCTTCAATAATCGGCTTGTGAAAACGATAGAGACTACAGTTTTTGACTGATTCTTTTCAAATTTGGTGTTAAGTGAATTGTAGTCATGAGAGGACGAACCCTATCGATTTTCGGCATTCTGCAACCTTTCTTACCACAGTTATGCTCTCTCTGTGATTTTCAACAGTATACATTTATTATCCTTGACCATTTTTTAAAATCTGGTTGATGCTCTGGAGGCTACACTGATGATTATTTTCCAATTGACTTCAAATTTATACACACTGTTTAACATTCTAGAATTACTTTCTGATAGGGCTGGCGTAAAATATTGATACTGCCGATAATCGCTGGTAAGCGTTTTGAAAATCGATTATCGATACAGTTTTAAAATATCGATTATCGATACAGTTTTAAAATATCGATTATCACGTAATTATAGGTACTTCACTTGGAAGAAGAAGTCTATAAAAATAACCCTTATCATTGTAGCCTATGCTTTGCAACCGGTGCTTGGGCCTAGAACTGTAATTAAACAGAATAGTCATAATAAAACACACATGTTTTGTTTTTCACGCGAGACGCCACCCGTGAGAAATGTTGGCCGCTTATGTCATGATGAGAGCCAATGGTTTCACATAACATTCATTTGTGCGCCTTATTTTAAAGGCTCAATACCACTCTTGTTGTAACTGAATAATATGTCCCAATCTTTATTCTGGTCAACAAATTGTACTATTTTACAATATTCCAATTAATTGATGATACAAATTTCATCTTAACACACCTAATTTAAAAAATAGGAAAAATTCAACTAAATGATTTGAAAAGCCTGACGTAAAGCTTTTCAAATGTGACATGGATTTAAAAATATTTTGGAACCCTCTGGACAAGTAAAATAGGATTTAATGGATAATTTACACAACAGGTAGGACACTAACACATCTAGTACTTAGAATAAGGCTATTTTTTATTTTCTGGAGCTGTCAAGCCAGCAAGAGTGTTACTGTCCCTTTAACTCTTCATTTCTTTCATCTTCTCTGTTTCTAAGTCAAACACACACAATACTAGAAATATCTCAGATCGTACAAAGATCTAGTATCGTGCATCAAACACGTACTTCACCTGTATTATTTTATCAAGGAATTTGCGAAGAAATGTCTGAAGAAGAAATAACTACATTTTACACATTATTATTCATGTCATAAGCGACAAAGATATGGCGAGCGGTGGCGGTTCTGTCTTCCAAATGAAGTTAATCGAGTTTCTTTCTACACCTTGTCAAATGTCAAATAAATGAAGAAAATTCTACATGTATACAGAATGATATCACAACATAAACTTGCATATAATTCGTTATTCATATACAAATTATGATTGTTTTCAAACCAATTGTAAGTCAAAATAATTTGCCGATATAATCGATTATTGATTGGCGGATGGTCAGCGATAATAGATACTTGAAACAGGATCGATTGCCAGCCCTACTTTCTGAGTTATTGCCCTTGTGCACTTTTGGAAATCTTGTGGACCAACTAGCGGGTAAAGTAGTTTCAGATTGATTTGAAATTGATGCACAGTGTTTCTACGAAGAATCATCTGATTATGGTACATTGTATAATGTTAGCACCAAGAAGAAGTATACAATCAAATTGTGATTATTTTTCATAATTACTTCATGGGTTTTTACTCTTTTTCAGTTTTTATTAGTGTATTGTAAATGTTCCCCTGCAAAAGAATAAATATGTGACAACCCTTTTTTACTGTTCGACGACTTAGCTGCTGTAATAGCTTAATATATGTAATAAGTAAAGGAGATGATAAATATATATGTATTTTGTTCTTACAGTTTTGATAGATGCTGCAAAAAGAGGAGATATGCGGAAGGTAAATATATTCTAGTATTTGTAAAGCCTATGAAAAATTATAATAATCAGGTGGAAATTGGGAAGCAAAAGTTCTATTATTAATGACAGATTGGGTCAACTGCATTTAATACTGTTTCTAAATGCCCTCATATTATTTCTCATCACCTGTCTTTTATCTGTTGACTCCCTTTGAGTGTCTTAATCATAAGACAACATCTCTTGTGACATCCTTAGTAATGTAAGAAATGGGATCCGATTTTCCTCTTGAGAAATGGTATCAGGTGTTTCCAAAATGATACCTTATAAGGCTGATTATACTTCTGTAGATGATGTATAATTGAGATAGATTTAGTAGTGTAGATTTATTATTGTTCTTGTTATTCATTAGATGGTGGAAATCTATCATCATGGTGGTCAACTCTTAACAGCAGATCAATATGGTATGACAGCACTTCACCACGCAGCACGCTTCGGACATAAAAATATTGTCACTTTCCTTATTGCAAATGGTAAGTTTTTATTGTTGTTGTTTGTTTATTTCACAGCTGACAATTTATTACAACATATTGTCATATCTGATAATGTTTTGTAGATATCATAATTTAATGTTCTTAATAAAATATTTCTTCTGTATTATATTTATAGCACCTCCTGTGATATTAGACATGGTTGACCATGAAAAGTAAGTTAATTCTTATTATATAAACAAACTTACTTTCATATTGTATATACGATAAATCATAATTAGATTTAATCTTAAATGAAAGAAAGGAAAGAAACACATATGTAATGAACATACCGCTGCATTGAACATAAAATTAAGTCTCACCTAAAGCAAGTGGAAATGCTCAGAAAAGACATTTCATTTTATAGTCATAAGAGGATAACCAACCCATGTTTGATTTTTTATATGCCCACATTAAAGTTAGGATGTATTATGATGTCACCCTTGTCCATCCGTCATGAGAGGATGACCCTATCGATTTTCAGTGCTCCACTACCGTTTGTTACTAAGTTATCCCCCTTGTTGGGAAACCTTGTTAACACAATAATTTTTTTTAACAGATTTTTTTCAGATTTGATCTGAAGCATTGGGTTCATGAGACAACTCCCTGTATTAATTTTCATCTTCCTGAGTTATCCCAAAGATTTTCTGTTACAGGGATATAGTATTTGACCAGAAAAGCTTGTTAACACGATATCTTGAAGGATCCTAGATCTTTATTAAATTTGATAAACATCTAACTATGTTTTCCTCTAGGTGCTGTTGAAACATAGGTGCTGTGTGGACATATTTCCAAGCTTTGCGTGGCTATCTTTATTTAAGAGTTATCGCCCTTGTCCAAAAAGATTTATAATTGCTCAAGTCATCCTAGTTCCTAATGTTGATTAAGGACATGAACCTTAATGATTGGATATTCCTTTAATAATCAAGAAACAGTTTTGTGGGTGGATATTATGTCGCATAGCAAAATTTGGTTATTTTAAAAAAAATCCACATACTGCACATTTAAATTACACTTTAAATTTGGGTTGAAATTATACTTGCTCACTATGGTATGTTATTTATTTTTTTCTAGAGGGCAAACGGCATTACATAAAGCAGCATGGTATCAAAGACGTACAATCTGTCATATGTTAGTAGATGCAGGAGCCTCTTTAACCCGGACAGATTATCAGGTATTATGGCAGTTTTAATGTAAACAAAAAAGAATTGATATCATTAATTTAAGATAGTTTAATTAAATGGTTGTTTGTCTATCAAGTGTAGAATATATTGATTATAATTACAGGGTAATACACCACGACAACAAGCTCTGAAGGCAGAAGATAAAGAATTAGCAGCCTATTTAGAAAGTAAGTTTTAGATTGTCACATGGAGATGTAAATACAGGAAAAATGATAACGAAATAATTTTTGTTAAAGCTTATTTGGCCCTGTTTCTCGAAGTTGACAGCGACCTAATTCTGGCCTTTGGCTATTTCATTTGAAAATAGACTAAGAACCCTGGTATAGGGTAATAGTTTGAGTACTATCAAGATATGAGCTTCACAAATTGCCATAGGGAATATCCTGAAGAAAATGGAATTTCACTCAAAATGTCATTTGCATTTATTTGTATGATGACATAAAAAAAAAAATATGATTTTGTTTGATGATATTCTGTTTCAGATCAAGAACATTTTCAGTTAGTATCATCTGAAGATCAGGAGACAGCTGTTTAGTGTCATCTATTTTGATCAGTTTGTGATGTTTTTAACCAGGTGTTTATAATTTGCAAATTCTGGATTCAACCAGAACTGGATTAGTATGTGGATAGTCCATAAAAATGAACCATTTTGATTTAGACGGACATTGATATTTCAAGAATTCTGAAAAGGAGAAATTTGTTTACTGTTCTGTGTGTGTGTAATATTTAAATGGAAGTGCTTCAGTATTTATTGAGAGAATATTTGAATGATCAGATAGTGTGTGTCGGAAACACTAACAAAATCAGTGGTTAGGGAACTAGAAAAATATATGAATTGTATGTGTGTAGAATGTAAACATTTGAACTATATATCTGGGTCTAGTTATCTGAAAAGTAATAGATTGATTATGAGTTGAAATCAGAATTGATTTGTGTAATCTAAATTCAAGACAATTAAAAGGATTATTTTGATTGTGCACGATGTTGTTCTGTTGTCTAAGTGCCATTGCCATGGCCACGTTCACCTCTATAGCACACACATACCTCTCTGTGTCACCCTGCATCAATATAGATTTTATATAAAGCTTGTGTACATTTCATACAACATCAGTTGTTTTCTTTTTAATTCTCATATTCTTTTTATTTTAATGTTAAATTAAGATTTGCTGATAGGGTTAATAATTAAATTTCAGGGGTTTAGTGCTTCGGCCAAAACTGGGATATCAGGAGCTGGGTAAACACGTTTTGCTCTCTTGCAGAATTTATAATTTAAAAAAATAAATATTTCCCCCAAAGCCAAAGCTTTGCGTCATTACTGACCATAGTTCATATTATTATATTGATTTTTATGTATTTTTAACATTAATTCTATGGAAGTTATTAGTAGAGTCTATATGACAAACATAAGAACTATATATACAAGACAAAATTTCAAATTTTAATAAACCACCAGCCGTTGATTTGATTAGCTGAGAAATTTTATCTTTCTGTGTCCATTTACATTCCAAAAAATAATGACAAATTTTTGCGTTTTAAGATTATAAGATGATAATGACGGACTAACTTTAAGTGAGAATCTGGACCACTGTAATGATTAAAAAGTGTAAGTTATTTAGAAAAAGATTATATTCTGTGCAATATATATTTTCAGCTGTGATTTAATTGATAATTATAAGTTCTGGTAATAGGTCAGTTAAAAAATGTTATTCTTTATTCAAATTGCATCTTTATTACAACCACGATGAATTATAGTAAATTGTGTTTACATAAGAAATCTGAGGTTGTCTACATTGATCTGTGTTACTTAAAGATACATTATGTAAGAATTAGATAAAGAGCTGGCTGTTCTTGGTATAATAGTTCAAGCATAGATAATGAAAAATGAATATATTGAAAAATTTAGTCAAAATACTTTATCCTGTCCGGGGTTTGAGTGTTCAAAGTTTTGACAAAATGTAAGTAGATTGTTTTTTATCGTATTAACGGCACTTGGCAGTCAAAATTAAGTCTTGATTATCTATTTTATCGTTAACCTCTTAAATGACAGCGGTGTTCTAATCTACTTAAAATCAGAAGCCATCCCATGGCCCAGAGGTTGATATGGGCTTGTCATATTAATAAATATTTTATATAATAATTTATATTGCATTGGAAGCCAGAAAAAAGACCTGCAATAGGCAGATTTAGTTCTTACATAATGCATTTTTAAACCTGGGCATTTTATTAATAAACCTGGGTTTTTATTAATTTGAATTGCAAATTAAATACATGTAATACATTTGTATAGAAACATATTGAATTATGGTTGTATATATATTGTTGTCACCCACATCTACCTGGCAAATGTTCATAGTCCACAGTTGCTTGAACTCATAACCTCGCATAGAGGGCTACGTTATCATCCGATTGACTGGATATTATACACAGTGTTTAAATTCATGAGATGAAGAAGCCTATTTATTTGTAACGATATCCAATAATTACTGTTGGGATCTATCGCCCTTGATCAATTTGACAAATCTTATGAAATACTTCATAGGATTTTACTCAATTATTAGTGTTCTTGTGAATGCTTCAGTTACCTAGAAAAAAAATAAATATCTGACAACCTTTGTGGACTGATTACCTGGCAACCTCTCTTCATTAAATTTGACATCTTTCATTCAGTATAGCCCACCATGACTGCTTTGATTATGTCCCTATTAAACGAATCTCTGTTGATCAGTTGTTAATATAAGTATGGAGCCACACCATCTTATAATGTAAGTGTTCTATTTTATGCTTATTGAAATTGATTACATTCTTTAATTGAAAGGTTCATCTAGTAAATTGTTGATTTTTGTTATATTTTTTTGGTTATGAAATGATTGCTTGCTGTGTGCATAATTTAATATCATTCAACACCCAGCGACAGCAAATTGTGTTCAAACTATTTTAGCTTTTTCAAACTATTTGTTTTGCTGTTCAAATCTAGGACTTTTTCCCCCTGTTATAAGTATCTTTGATTTTTAAGAGTTACAAAGTGTTAATATTTACAACATTTCCAGCATACTTGAAGGAGTTGAAGCACCAACCATGAATTAACTATCTAGTAATTGAGTCAGGATTTGGCTTAAATTTGTATTTTTGTATTGTACATTTATAATATTCAGACCGATTATGTCTGACCTATGTCATATACATTTACTTATGTTAACCAAAAGTTTAGCGGTTCTGAGTATGCTTGTTGTTTTCACCGAAATTAGTACAACCCTCTTGTTAAGTATAAATAATACTTGACAGATTTGGTTATTTCATAATATTGTGATACAGTTGGATAAAAGTTATCGTGACATGTCTGTATTTTATGATAGTTCAGTTTTTTTTTGTGGTTGTGAGACATATTTAGATCTAATGCAATGCAAATTTTGTACGTTTGTTTGTTACTTTGTTTAATGATCAACCTGTTTTCATATATTTGTTTTTCTGTAAATGTTGCTAAGCAACTCTTTGTAACCATCGTAATGTTCATCTTTGTTTTTATGTCAGTATATGGACAGGGAAGAGAAAACAAACCTTCTTTGTATTAAACACTATTCCTAATGGCTGCCATGACCTATCTTTAACCTAGCCTTAGCAACCAATCACCTTCACCTTGAAGATGTTGTTATGCACATGTATCACCACGGTAATGACATATATTTGTTGGAATGTTTTGTTCACATTTTAAAGGAACCAGCAGAGCCTGGCATATACATGTATTGTAAATAAGAAGTTATTGATTATGTAAAATTTTATAAAAATGAATTGGTTCCATTTTAAAATGAAAATTAAATGGATTTTCAAAATTGTGGTAATTATCAAATTTATATAATGAAATTTTGAATTGTATACTTATATAGAACTATTTAGTGACTTTCATTTCTAAACCAGCTTTAATCAATACTGTTTCTAGTTGATACATGATGTCTTATTGTATATTAAAGATGTTTTTATTTTTTAGCCACCATACCAAGTTATGTTTGACTACAGCTGTATATCATATCTGATATATTAATTTTATTAGTCAATGATGACATTGAATATAATATTTTTCTTTCCATGGTAATATAAATATTATATATATACATATATATGTAGAAATTTGTAATTATTTTCTTTTCAAGAAAAATTGTAATAAATTTATTGAAGATACAAAACGTGCTGGCACGCATAATATGTACATGTTATAATGGTAATATATATATATATATATAGGATATATTTTTATCTAAAAATTTTGTTACGTATCTATTCATATATATATATATATTATAAATTTGAGACAAAAAATACACGAAATCACGTAAACAGTGTAATGCACACTTTTAAAAGGTATTACATGCAAGTAAAGAAAAGATTGCTTTTTTCCTTTAACGGGTGTTTTGTTGTCATTGCTGATTTATTCAAATCGACCTGTTGAAAAATATACAAATTACCAAAAGGCTGTAACCTCCCTTTAAGAGCTGGAATGTATAACTGCAAAGGTCCTGCTCAAAAAGTAATGTATTGGTCAGAGCATAAGCACTCTTAAGAGATTAAAACGAAGATTTTTTTTTTTAATAATCTAGTACTATATGTTAATATCTGTAAAGTATTTCCTTGCTGATATTTTCACTAACTTGATGGAAACCAAGAATTATAAATGATGCCCAAGTCCGAGATATGCTAATAGCTCTTGCCTGAAGAACAGTGTGTTGTGAATCAGTGTCAGTGTTCAGAAAAAAAAGAGTAGGGGGCAAACAAAGTGTTGTGAATCAGTGTTCAGAAAAACAAAGTAAGGGGTGTAAACACTGCAACAAAACTGTCCCCAACAAGAAATTTCAATATTCCTAACAAAAATTAAATCCCATGAGAAAAGCCTAGATCATGGCATTTGAGTGATTTCATAACAATTCTTCAAAAGCAATGAAAAAAAGAAAGTTGTAGAAAATACCAATACCCAAGTTTTGAAATGAGCCGGATCCAATAAATGTCGAAGAATCCTCTCCAATATGAAAACTGATATTGTTTATCTCAATACCTTGTTTTCTAGTTCTAGAATTGGGCTGTATTTAAAGATTTAAGGAAGCTTAACAAAGTCATGATAGGCTCATTGGGGTATTAGTTTTGTAATACACATTCAGAATGGTACATTCTGCCAATCTCAAAAGCTGTGAAACCTTTTTTTTTTTTTTTTTTTTTTAGAGTGACCTTTTCCTAGCATACATTAATAAACAGCTTGTAGTTTTAAACACTTCTTTGCCTAGTCATAAAACTTAATGCATAGGCATTCCTTGCATTAAAACAAACGATTTCCCCATTTTGACTGCTTCAAACACATTCCAGATAGTGCCTCCCCTACAAGAATGTCATAAATAATTAAATGGCACCTCTAAATTACATCCCTGGAAGTTTCAACAAATCTATGTCTTTGATCAGAATCTCAAGAATAAGGGGAGATTACCCTATTAAAGTCAGGCATTGCCCTAAAATCTCAATGTCTGTTTCCATGTTCAAACCAATACTTTTCATGAAGACATTGTATTAGCCTATGACAATAAACCTGATCACAGTGGGCATGCTCGATTTTCATTCCAGAATGTCCCGATTTGACAGAATTGCGGAATTCAGTCCTGTCACGGTTCTATCAGTCCCGACAACGGTGGTGTGAGTAGAATCGAGATGTAATTAAACCCGAATATAGCCCCACCCCATTTACATTTGGCCACGACAAGCTTGCCATTTTGGGTACGGTACTAGCTAGGCCACAATAATTTTCAAGAAATTGACCTGTTTACATTACTCTAAAATAACCGGTGTCGAAACCGTGCCAGACACGCCAAATGTGGAACTCTTCACAAAAAAGTTAATTTCAGTCCCTGTGCAAATTACCTGGATGAAAACAATTACACGGGTTGATTTAGTTTGGGCAGCCATTTTGACAGAACTGTCCAAGTTTTCCGGGGAAAGAAAGGTCAAGGTTCATTTGGCGCATGCTGTGCCTGGAACTGTGCCGTTACCACCTCATGTTAGTGGACAAAATTGGCACATGTGAGTTAGTTGTATTTAACGTCCGCTTCCACCGAGGTGATATCGCAGACAAGATTGGCACGGTGCACAGCACGCGTATATTTGACCCGTTTACACTACAAAAAAATAACCTCGTCGTGCAAGCACGCTTAAAATTTGTAATGTAAACAGGGTTTATGTCTCCACTTGCTAATTGAGTCCAAATGTCACTACTCTGTAGCAAAACTACAAATATCTGTTTTATTTTTAATATTTCTTCATTTTTATAATACAATTAAGTTAATTTTAATTTACAAATTTATTCAAATAATATTTCAGCCAGAACATTTAGTCATTCATTCATTCATTCAATATATTTAATTAACATTAACATACTCTAAAACACTACAAAATGAAATAAATATGGGAAAAAGAAGTGAAAAAAAAAAGATAAATATAAAACAGGTTGGCAGTTAAGTCTTTGGAGACAATCATCATAATCATGGCATAATTATTATCATTATGCATCAAACACATAAACATCTAATTCAATATTCACAAATAAAACTTAGTTAACAATAGATATTATCAAGCAGTTTTAATAATTTAAGTAATTACATTTGTTTGACAATCAAATACTATATGCTATATGTACATTTAAAAACAACATTAAAATTTTGCAAAATATTGTCGTTCGGGTTTGTAGCACTAAACTTTAAGATGTAAGTAAAACATATACATGTACTAGAAAAACAGAAATTGTATATTACACTATTTTACATAATAAATAACATGGATGATAACATTAATAATTTGAATAATGCATAAATGGCACTGACATCACCCAAATATTATCACATACATATATTACGATGTCCTCTGAAGGGCTTGTTTAATAAAAGAAAAGATGCAAACAGAATTTAAGATGACACCGAGAATAGTCAAACAAATAATTTGCAATGGTATCGAGAATATCTTATAATATTACGGCAGTTTATTATACAAGCCCTTTATCTAGTAACATTTAACTCTATAGTGTACACATTCATATCATGCTGCCAATTTAAACACTTTAACCCTTTAAATAAGAACACTTGTATTGAGTCATCTGCACTATGAAAATGAATATTTATAAAATATTAAAAACATCAAATGACATCTGGGACCAATATTCTTGAAAATGAACCTACTGAAATGAAATGTAATTTAATGTCTGTGACTCTTTTCTGTGCCAACTGGAGTAATGAAGATGAAAGATATTTCATACAGTGTGCTATGAATGGAATTTTACCTAGACAGTCGCGTTTCAACCTACTCTTATTCGAATTCAATCTGACAAGGGTTCTTTTACATGCACAAATTTGTGTACATAGGACTTGTGAATGACTAGACCAGTGGTTCTCAACCCTCTTTTGGCAACAGCACACCTTGGAACACATGAAAAAAACAGCGGCACACCTGGCTAAATATATATGAAAAATATCTGAATTTTGCAAAATAAAAACATGGCAAGTCATAGACGGCATACAACCGTAGACACAGACTAGTCATAGAAACATAGAATGACACAGCTATGAACGTTCCAGTAGACACCAGTGAACACTTAATTGGGATCAATGGGCTTTTCACATATTCTTTTTGTGCCGTTCAAAATTTCGCAGCACACCTGTGTGCCGCAGCATACTGGTTGAGAATCATTGGACTAGACACTGTTTATCTCCAGGCCCACCATCCTGCACCACTAACAAGTGGAAACGATGCTGGGATCGATCACAGGACTTTCTGGACTCAAGTGTTGAGTCGCCATCTCAACTAAAGAATATATTCAAAAAGAGCAGGACATAATACTACATGTATAAATAAAACATTGAAAAGAGAAAATGAAGTGATCTTTGGTCAATAAGGTACAATGAATGAACACAGTACAATTTTCTTGATTTGATAAAATAATCGAGAGCTCTACATGAATAATGACACATATATAGTCCTCAGCAGTGTTTAGTTTTCAATTTAAAGGGTTAAAGGAACTAATAACGCTAATATCAAACCATAGAGACCTTTTGGCATCGAGGACTCCCTGTGCGATTTTCCTCCATTAAAAGTCTATCAGTTGTATTACATCCTGATGGCGCCGAAACATATCTAACTTCTACATGATCATGATCATCTGGTGGGCGTTCTGTACGAAACTTTCTTCTGTGGTAAAACCCACATATTAATAATATTATACAGAAAAAAGAAGATATGGAGGTGCCTATGGCTATATGTAATATCTGGATACCTGCAGTAACAGGACCTAAAAAAAATAAGATACAAATTAAATTATTTGATTTCAATAATTAATATTGAAATGCATATACAAGATATTATTAAATGCAGAGACAGAAAAGTGAAAAATACTATCAATAGTAGAAACTGTGCTAAAGAAATAACTATTAAAAATTAAAACAAAAATAAAAGTAAGGGAAAATTATATTAATGTGCAATATACATCTATAACCTTTGAAGGAGGGAACAGAAAAGAACACATTTATAACAACACAATATAGACTGCTTTTAGAATTTAATCTTTTGAGGGTACCATATATTTTTAGATCCTAATTCGGTATGGTAACCAAAATGGGAAAAAAACCACTTGAATAAAACAATAATTGGAAGAAAATCAAACAAGACAAACAAATGCAGATCAAAGACTTTCTAGGGTATTAATCGCTTGAGGCTTTTAAAAAAATTGTTGCTAGCATTAAGTCAATGAGCATGACTGAATTAGATCAGGAATCAACCATGTTTATGATTTAACACTCTCAAGTTTGAATAAACCATCTCTAAAACCGATTTGTTGTGATATACAATTTTAATAACAGGTGCAATAACTCTGCAAATAATTTATGAACGATAATGAATTTTGATATGGTTCATCATAATGACTACATGTAATTAAAAATTCACACCCACATTTGAAACGAGAGCATTGCTATCGCTGCAATATATGTCCACATTCCCGCTTTGATTCATATGGTACTTTTTAAAATAAAGAAGGCTAGGCGTTGGGTTTGTTTTGCCAAATTTAACAAAACGTGGGTGTGACACTGCCCCTGGGAGTCAGGACATGCACCAAAATAAATAGTTGCTATTCAAGATGATCCATTCAAATTCAGAATTCCAGCCTGTAGACAAAAAAAGCAAAAATTGGGCGTGGCTCTGCCCGTGGGGGTTGGACATGGACCAATATGAATAGGTACAACCCTTTGATGAATCATACTGAAATGGATCCAAATATATTAATAATTGCAACCTGTTGTTTATTTACAGACAATGGGCATGGCTCTGCCCCTGGGGTCGGGACATGCACCCAAATCTATAGTTGCTGCCCTTAGGCTATAAGAAATACATACATATGCCAAGTTTGAAGATGATCCGTTCAGAATTGCAGCTGGTATACGATAAACACAAAAATGGGTGAGGCTCAGCCCCTAGGGGTCAGGCATTCACCAAAAACAATAGGATCATCCTTAGGGTATAAAGAATAGGTATGTAAAGTTTCAAAAGGATCTATAAAGAATTGCAGTCTGTAGGCGACACAAAGACACACACAAAAATTGGGCGTGGCTCTAACCCAGGGGGTCAGGCATGCACCAAAAAATAATTGAGGTCATCCTTAGAGAATAAGGAATAAGCAAAAAAAGTTTTCAAGACGATCCATCAAGAATTGCAGTCTGTAGGCGACACACAGAAAAGGGGCATGGCTCTGCCCCTGGGGGTTGGGCATGTGCCACAAACAATAGGGATGAAACTTTGGGTATAAGGCATAATTATGCAATGTTTCAAGAACTGTGGCCTGTAGGGGACAAACAAATAAATACAAAAGATAGGTTGCCAGGCAATGAAACATACGCCCACAGCAGCTAAATCGTCCAAGCGGTTGACAAGGGTTGTCGCATATTTATTCTTTTGTAGGTAATTTGGGGCATTAAATAGAAAATTTCATACAGATGACATTGTAATTTTCGTCATATGAGGGTTCACAAGGTTCTAAAAACTAACACAAGGGCCTTAACTCTAGAAGTAATTTACAGAAACTGTTGAGATTCGACAGGCTTTTTCGTTTTACTAATTCAAATAATGCATATAAATTTCATACAGGTTGGATGATAACTTTTGTCGTTCGAACGTTCACAAGGTTCAACAAAGTAAAACAAGGGCTATAACTCTAGTAGTAATTGACGGAAATTGCTGAAATTTTATAGGCTTCTTCATTTCACTAATTTAAATTTTAATGATCATACAGATTGGATGATAACTTTTGTCATTCAAGCGTTAACAAGATTCAACAAAGTGAAACAGGGGCCATAACTCAAGACTTAATTAACGGAAATTGCTGAAATTCAATAGGATTCTTTGTGTTACTAATTTAAACGATAAATATAAATTTCATACAGATCGGATGATAACTTTTGTCATTAGAGCATTCACAAGGTGCAACAAAGTGAAACAAGGGCCATAATTCAAGGTGTAATTGATGGAAATTGTTGAAATTCAATAGGCATCCTCATTTCATTAATTTAAATGATGCATATAAATTTCATACAGATCAGATGACAACTGTTGTCATTAGAGTGTTCACAAGATTCAACAAAGTAAAACAAGGGCCATAATGTAATTAACGGAAATTCAATAGGCTTTTTTGTTTTACTAATTTAAACCATACATATAAATTTCATACAGATCGGATGATAACTTTTGTCGTTCACAGGGTGCAACAAAGTGAAACAAGGGCCATAACTCCAGAAGAAAAAAACCGAAATTATTGAACTTAAATAGGCTTCTTCATCTCACTAATGTAAACAACATATATAAATTTCAAAATAATTAGATGATAAATGTAGTCTGTAGAGTGTTCACAAGAAATTGTGGACGACGAACGATGGATGGACAGACAGGGGCGGCGGCAATATATGACCACATTTCCACATGGGAGTATTAAAATGGGCGTGGCTCTGTGTCTAGGGGTCGGGCATGCACCAAAAACAATAGGGATCACCCTTATGGTATACGGAATAAGTATGCAATGTTTCAAGACAATCCATAAAGAATTGTGCCCTGTAGGCGACCCACAGACACACACACACACACATCATGAATGTGGACGTATAAAAAGAATCTAAACACATGATCTGAGGGTTTCGATGACCGGGGTATAATAAATTAGCAAAGCATTTACCAATATAAATGCACATCAGACTGAATTGTGATTGCATTCATGCATCTAGAAGAACAATTCCAGTAGGTTTGTGAAAATAAATCTAACAGAATGCTAAAAGGATGAACAAAAAATGATTTACATAGAAACTATCATGTTAGTATATACAATTATTTGAAAAAAAAATTATCAAATGTTGTAATGTTGGTGTCCTTATTCTGATCAATTATAAAGTGAAATCTTATGATATACTATTCTGAACATATACCGGGTATTATAACAATTTAACAATAGGCCCCCTTCAGTTTTAAACTGGTAATCATGCTAAATCAATCTAAACATTCAACATTCACAACCAAAAAATCATCCTAGATTCTAAAATTAGTATTTGAATAACCCAGAGAAAGTCCGATTCAAACCACCTTTATTTCAAATTCCAATTGTGTCAGATCTTTCACGTTTTGCCAATGGTTACACATGACCCCAGTTCTCAGACGACCCCGGGCCTGGTTAGTGAGCCAACGTTAATGTAGCTCCAAATAAATAAACAAACATGTACATGTACATTTGATGATTACATTAATTCAAGTTTTTTAATTTGGTAGTGGTTACTTCGACAACTAATCATGGAGGAAAAAGGCCCTACACATGCTTATATAGTTTAACCCTTTCACTGCGTATACCCGGTAGTACCGGGTATTATAAAATGTCGGTAAAATGCCCGTACCCGGTATTACCGTGTACTCAGTAAAGCCCTCGTTAAAATTAGTACTGTAACTGCAAGTGCCATCTATTGTATTTTCTATACACTAGAACATATTTCCACGTGTTTCAAAGCAGCAAACCGTAAAATGGCGGAGTGCATTGTGACAACGTAGACGATGCACTCTCGACGAAGTCGTGAATGACGTCTTGCTGACCAACATGTGGACAATTTCGAGGCGGGTGATACACATAATTCGTTTCCAGTTACTTGATAATGATAGTAGTCAGAACAGTGATTGGTATTATGAAGTGTGTGATTTGTTGCGCGACGTTCCGCCCATGGCTAGCTATGTCTCCCGTGCATGATGAACAAGCCCAATGTGAACACGATAGCCCTGTGTCTGCAGTAGATTCTGACAATAATTCTGATGTTGATAATAATGCTGGCCTGCTGGATCGTAAAATACGTAGGTAATTCCTGATTCCCGAACGTGTAGATCTATTGACTGACTATATTGATAATGATATGGGACTTGGGGATGAAAGTGAAAGTGAAAGTAAAAACAAGGTATTGCAATCCGCACGTGGTCATGGCAGCGGGAGACGTGATGCGCGTGTTCGCGGCGGCATTACTCATGGCTGCTATTGATATTTTTGTTCATTTTATATATCTTTTATCAAAATCCAGTAAAAAAAACAATATCTTTTAAGTATTTCATGGAGAAAAATTCGTTTTCGTGTTAGCTTTAGAGTGAAATGAGAAATCCAAAATGGCCACCATGACGTCACGTGACTACATTTTTATGCAAATTTCCAAAATTCTATTTTTTCCTCTTAGCCCAACCTCATGCCCATCCCAACAGACAAAAAGATTTTTCATAAAAGCTTCCATAAGTACTGCTTGGCATTCAGTTCCAACCTCCCTTTTTTCCTCAAAAAAGGGTCTAGCACAGGCAGTGGATTTACGTCTAGCATTGAAAGGGTTAATATGAAAAGAATTGTCATCGGAATAGGCCTATACATTGGTGAAGAGGTGATAAAGAGGCAAGCTGTGACAACTACTACCAATCTCCATGCTTTCAATTCACAAACAGTATATAGCAAACATCTGCAAGCTTTAATCGCAAGACACCTCTTACCTTTAAATTATAACAAAGTACGATAAGAACATGTGCAAGGGCACAACACAGACAAGAAGCGAGACTTTGAAATTGATATAGGGGGCACCACCTGTTTGTAAATTAAACATAATTACATCACATATATTATACCATCCATGTCACATATACCAGAATCAAATTGAAAGGGGAATACAATATTCATCTAATTTCTTTTTTTCAAGTGTAATGGACACTATGTCATTCCTTCAAACTTTGTGATATAGCTATACTCTATTTCTAAATGAATGATATTCATGAGAAAACACCATTTCCAAAATTTTAGTTTAGAATATTGGACAGTGTCAAAACACATGTCAAGTTTGTTGCTGATTGATTAATCAATATCAGGTTCAAATGATACTTAATTGTTTTCATCATTTATCATGAGCTGCATATTAACTTACAGGGGAAACTGATAACTTAGAACCAAAACTAGTAAACCCAAAGCAACATATCCCACATTTCAATAATAATCAAGATTTTGTAAAAGTAAATTAAAGTGTTAAATTAGAAATATTTTTGTTTTTCATTGCTGTACCAAATTTCAAATAGAAACAAGGATTTATTAGTGGTGAGGTGGAAATTAATGAAAAGTTTATTACATTAATTAACTCGAGTGAATATTTATTCCCCTTTCATCAACTTAAAAGAATATAATAGAATTGTGCTGAAGAGAACATTGTTACTAAAAACAAATGAAACTAAAACCAAAACATTTATTAAAATTCTACAAAATAAAAACTAAGACAATACCAGAACTAAAACATAAGAATTTTCTTATAATAAATTTTCCAAAACACTTACAAAAACATAGATATGTGATAAACACTACCGTTATTGTATAGCAGAAAAGTCGTATGGAATATATTTTTAAATTGATCACAGCTATTCGGGTGGTTTAAGACATCATAGAAGATAGTAGTTTCAGGTGATACATGTGCTAAAGGATTAATACAATTAATTCAAATTGTGATGTGTATTTTTAAAAGAATTTGAACCTCCGAACTGCTTTTGAAGAACAGTAGTTATTACCAGACATGTAAACAGTAGAAGGTGTTCATTAACTTACATTCTGTGACTTCATCTGAGTCATCATCCCTGCCACAGTTAGGTAAATCGTTACACGTTAATGATGATGATATACACAATTTATTTACAGCACAAGTAAAACCAAAACAATTATCTGTAATAAATAAATACATAATTATTATCATAAAATAACAACCAGTTTCTCATCCAGGGGGAATAATAGGTCCATGACTGTCCGATTATTCATCAAGAATCATATCTATTTGGAAACATTACTGTACAGGCTTTAACGGCCAAAACTTGCAAAATTGTTGGTGATCTTACCCCAATATCTATAGATTCAATCTTCTGCTATATTAATAAAGAGATAACATAATATGGAACACAATTATTATTGTCCTTCCATGTTATCAAGCCAATGTCGCTTTAATAAAAGTTATAATTGTGTTCCATTATTATGTTATCGTGTTTATTACCTATATCAGAGTTTTGTTATATTGTTAACACAGGGCATGTAGAATATGAACATATTAAATATATTTAACCAGTAATCTCTAAGATCAGACAGGAGACAAATGTTAATTTATGTTTATTCATGCAATGGGTTAATTTAGTTATAAGTGTGACTATTAAAGGTTATACTTGCCTGCTGTGTAAAGTTCTGTCCACGACAGTTTAAACCCTTTTCCACCTAATGCTTTAGGTGAACTTAAAAAACTAAAAATAAAAGAGATATGTTGTGTATTATCTTATTAACACTATCATATAAACAATAAGCATATTATATAACAATGATTCCATGTCCAATGTTTGGACGTAACCACCGCTTCACTGTGTATGAATACGAGAGTTTGAGAATATAACACGTGTGACGTAAACTCTATCATTGTCTTGTCGTTCTTTTATGTTTGTTATGTTGTCAATACATAACATATTGGCGACGAGGATGGTGGTTAGTCAGTAAGTACAGCCTAAATACACCCACCGATGTTGTAATTACAACAAGTCCTGAATTTTCGACAAATTACCCGTTCTTTGTGTGTGTGCAGTCAGCAATAGTTTCGACCGCATCACCGCCATTTTGAAGCCTGTGGTATTCTGTGATTTTCAAAAAAAAAAAAAAAAAAAAGAATGGCTGGACAAATAGGAAATATAGAGAACTTTAATGAGAATTTAGAAACATGGGAATCGTATTCCGAGAGGTTGGAACAATATTTAGTAGTAAACCGGGTACCAGACGAACGAAAAGTATCGGCACTCATTTCTTCGGTAGGTCCGACAACATACTCGCTACTGAGAGATTTGACATGTCCAGAAAAGCCAAGTACTAAAACTTACAATGAACTAGTAAGACTTCTTAGAAATCATCATTCACCTCCCCCAAATCTTATAACAGAAAGATGTCGTTTTCACTCAAGATTTCAAGAGGAGGGAGAGAGTGTATTAGAGTTTGTTGCTGCCTTGAGAAAGTTATCGGAACATTGTAATTTTGGAGAAACCTTAAGTGAGACCATAAGGGATAGACTTGTATGTGGCCTACGTAATACACACATTCAAAAAAGATTATTGTCACACAGTGATCCAGATTTAACTTTAAATCGAACAATTGAAATTAGTGTTGCCATGGAAACTGCCGGTAAAGACACTCTTGAGTTGCAAGCTAGATATGGAAGACCAGTTAAACAACCAGAGGAGTCTAATCAAGTAAATCGGTTTAATCAATCCGATACTAGACGGAGGCATAATAATCGCTCGACTACTAGTCAGAGTTTGCAGAGCAGACGTCAATCAGATGGTCAAAGAGAAACTCAGAAGCCCTGTTCTAGATGTCTAGGTATTAACCACAGTCAGGAAAATTGTCCTTACCTGGATACTAAATGTCTAAAGTGTCATAAGAAGGGTCACTTAGCCCGGGCTTGTCGAACAGGAAAATCGTCCAAGTACAGATTTAAAAATCACAGAAGAATGAACAATTTAGGGGAAGATAATTCTGACAGCGACTATATATCAAAGTTTGAAATATATACAGTGAAGAAAACTGTTGATGATATAATATGGATGAAGCCTAAAGTAAATGATATCCAGTTACCAATGGAACTAGATACAGGCTCAGCTGTTTCGGTCATGCCTAAGAGACAATTTGAAGAAACATTTCCTTCTGTGAAATTGGAAAACGTCGACATCAGTTTTAAAACTTATTCCGGTGAGAAAATTATTCCACTTGGAGTGGCGAAGGTTACCGTCAACTATGATGATCAGTGTTTTGACAATATGAATTTGTATGTCGTACCAAAAGGTAGCTCCCCATTGTTAGGACGCGAATGGTTAAGAAAACTTACCGTAGATTGGTCAAAACTTAGTTTACCTCTTAAAAAAATCCATACTGTGGAAACTGATAAAAAGAAGGTATCAGAAGAAATTAAAGCTATGACAGAAAAATACAAAGATATTTTTGATGACAGAACTGGAACAGTTAAAGGTATTAAAGCCAAGTTAACACTGAAGGAAGGATCGACACCAGTGTTTTGTAAAGCTAGGACTGTTGCCTTTGCCTTAAAACCAAAAGTTGATGCTGAATTAGATAGACTTGAAGCGGAGGGTACAATTACTAAAGTTTCACATAGTAATTGGGCTACACCCATAGTCCCTGTATTGAAGAAATCGGGCCAGGTTCGAATTTGTGGAGATTTTCGTATTACCGTTAATCCATGCTTGCAGATAGATGAATATCCTCTCCCAAACATCGATCACATATTTGCGAATCTAGGTGAGGGACAACACTTTTCAAAAATTGACCTCCGACAGGCATATCTACACTTAGAAGTTGACGAGGACTCTAAAGAGTACATAACCATCAACACACAAAAAGGACTGTATCGATACAACAAGTTAGCGTTTGGTATCGCGTCAGCACCTGCGATATGGCAGAGAACCATAGAGCAGGTTTTACTAGGCTTACCAGGAGTTCAATGTTTGCTAGACGACATGATTATTACAGGTAAAACAGATCAAGAACATTTAGCAAATTTAGAAGGTGTTTTAAAGAGACTAAGTGAATATGGGTTAAAAATCAATTTAAAGAAATGTGATTTTTTTAAAGATAGTATCACATTTTGTGGACATATTGTTGATAAACATGGACTTCATAAACAACCAGATAAAATCGAGGCCATGATAAATGCTCCAAGACCAAAGGATGTTCCGCAATTAAGAGCATTTTTAGGACTAGTAAATTACTATCGCAAGTTTTTGCCTGATTTAGCTACAATTTTGTCCCCACTTTTCCAGTTACTCAAGAAGGACAATTATTTTAAATGGACTAAATCTTGCCAAGTCTCATTTAATAGAATTAAGGAACTTGTAAGTTCAGAATGTGTTTTGACTCATTATGATCCTAAAAAGGAAATCAAGTTAGCCTGCGATGCTAGTTCCTATGGATTAGGAGCTGTAATATCTCATGTGATGTCTGACGGAAAAGAGCGACCCATCGCTTTCGCTTCAAGAACTCTAACAAAGGCAGAGACAAATTATTCTCATATTGATAAAGAAGCTTTGGGAATTATTTGGGGTATAAAGAAATTTCATTCGTACCTCTATGGTAGATCGTTCACCTTAGTGACTGATAACCAACCTCTATCATATATTTTCAATCCCAAAAAGGGAATCTCAGTAACTGCATCAGCACGTCTGCAGAGATATGCGATTATTCTTGCTGGTTACGATTACAAAATTGAATTTAGAAAGACGTCTAAACACGCCAATGCTGATTCATTATCACGTCTTCCATTAAAGGTAGAAGAGGAGACAGTTAGTACTGATATGGGTATAAATGCTTTAAATACAGCTCAAGTTGATTCGTTACCAGTTACTACATCTTCAGTACAACAGGAAACCAGAAGAGATCCTGTGATATCAACTGTTGTCCAGTACACCAATTATGGATGGCCGACCGAGAAATTTAATCAAGAACTAAATGCGTTCTATACAAGGAGACATGAGTTAACGGTTCATCAGGAATGTCTAATGTGGGGTCTCAGAGTAGTAATTCCCGCGAAATTACGTCAAGATATTCTCGATCAAGTTCATGAAGGACACGTAGGTGTTGTGAAAATGAAGATGTTAGCCAGAAGTTATATTTGGTGGCCTGGTATTGATGGTGATATAGAAACATTAGCAAAACAATGTACTGGATGCCAGCAATCTCAACACATGCCAAAGTCAGCGCCTATTCACCCATGGGAATGGCCTTCCAAACCTTGGGAGAGGATTCATATCGATTTTGCAGGACCGTTTTTAGGATACATGTTTTTGATTATCGTCGACTCTCACTCAAAATGGCCTGAGGTAATCAAAATGACTACTGGGAATACATCTGCATCAAGCACTGTGGAAGTTTTAAGAACTGTGTTTGCAAGAAATGGATTGCCTTCCAGAATTGTCAGTGACAATGGGCCTCAATTCATTGCATCTGAGTTTGAACTATTTTGTAAATCAAATGGAATTAAGCACATCCGTTATTCTCCGTATCACCCAGCCAGTAATGGATTGGCTGAGCGTTTTGTTCAATCATTCAAGCAAGCCATGTATTCTAGCAGACCAGAAAAAGGAACTATCCAGAAAAAGTTATCCAAGTTTCTATTGGCTTATAGGAACACACCACATTGTACAACCAACACTTCACCAGCTAAATTGTTTATGGGACGAGAGCTCAGAACAAAATTACAACTGATTAAACCGGACTTGTCTGCCTATGTCAAGTCTAAACAAGAAGATATGTGTAGATATCGTAAAAATCCACATCGTAGTTTTGAAAACGGTCAACATGTAGCAGTACGTGACTACAGAGGTTCCAACAAATGGGTACCCGGTGTAATTCGTAATCGCACTGGTCCGGTATCTTATCAAGTTGAAACAAATGAAAATGTTATCTGGAGACGTCATACAGATCAAATTCGAGATGCTAAGTTCAATGTTCCTCCTGATGAAAACATTCCATTAGATCCAGATTATATTCCAGATCCACCAGCGCATATTGCACCCCCAAATCAACTTGCAACATCTCCAGGAACATCGCGACAGACCACACCGATAAAACCCAAAAGTCCGCCCGCTCATCGTTATCCTGCAAGAACACGTTACAAACCAGCTAAATTTGATGATTATATCTGTGACTCTAAATAAACTGTGTTCTAAATTAAGGAGGGAGAAAGTGTTGTGTATTATCTTATTAACACTATCATATAAACAATAAGCATATTATATAACAATGATTCCATGTCCAATGTTTGGACGTAACCACTGCTTCACTGTGTATGAATACGAGAGTTTGAGAATATAACACGTGTGACGTAAACTCTATCATTGTCTTGTCGTTCTTTTATGTTTGTTATGTTGTCAATACATAACAAGATATACAGGAATAAATTAAAAGACTTCATATTAGCAAATATTAAGTCAATATGTTTCATCTATAATAATTGTATCTATCTTTAAAGGCCATTTAGTGAAAGCGACAGCTTTATGGATAACATTCACTAGGTTTATTAGCTGTATCATTTCAATGAGGGTACTTTCAACGTTATCAAGCAATGATACAATCAAACATGTTACAGAAGGTTTTATATATGGGTAACAATCAACAATTAATAAATTAAAAAACGGAAGCCAGTGATATGGTGTTGAACATCAGTCAGACCTTATACCTAAGAAAACTATAAATAATAGGATACCCTTATAAAAGAAGGAAAATTGTAGATTTACCTTCTCTTTTAAGGGTATCCTATTAATTATTGGTTTGCTTGATGACTGTGAGAGTGTCCGCATTGAAACATTGCAGTTAATAAACCTAGTGAATATTTACCATAAAGCTGTCTATTATTCTATGATAATGTTTGAGATATTTTTATTACACCGTTGACACATCGTTACCCAATATTTATTCAAATGTCACTGTTTATTAGAATTCAATTCAAGAACATACTTTCATCACATGAAGTTGATAAAATCGTCAAAGAAGTAATTACTACTTTAATCAACCAATTGAATAGCTTTAATTTCTCATTAATCGGTGCTAATCACTAATGGAAGGTTTTTTTATTGTGAAGAATAATTACCTAATTTTTATAATATCTTTATTTGATACAAAGACATTTTCTGGACCTAGATTACCACATAGTTCTACTTGTGGCCTGAGATTTTCATCATCTTGATAAATACGAACAGCAGTATTAACACACCCTGTAGCTAAAATATATACATGGTTATATTAAAAATACTAATCAAAGAAAACAATCAACAGATTAAAGAAATATTGTAATTAAAGAAATAAACAAATGGGTAATAATCAATGTTCATCTTTGAGAATTCACCCAATTCCAACATCACAACATGGTAAGCATAACTCTTTAGCACATGGAAACCGCCCCAAACCACTGCTACTTCTAGTGCTTGAAACCACTTGAGTCACATGAATGGCTCTGAACTATTTAAGGACTGTCCACTAGTTCTGTTACTCTGGTGGTTTGAGGCAGTCTATATGGAGCAGCAGTATTGGGCATTTTCGAAAATGAGTTGTGATAAACATAATTTTTCTTTGATTTTTTCAGGGAACCTGTGGTAATCAATACTGACATTTGATTTTCAACAGAGACCAGATGTCCCAATTCAGCAGACATGTGTTTCAATCACACAGTGTACAAAATGTAATCAGTGATGAGAACAACAGCAATAAGTGAATACTAATATATATCAATATATGTTTATTAAAGTTCTGGGGAATTGGATGGCCGAATGGTTAGCATAGTGCTATATCATTGGGTCTGTGATTGAGTCAACTGGCGTGGTTTTGATTCCCAGGTTTTATGTGACAAGGAGTAGGGTCGCCTGTCCAATCTTGTGGATTTTCTCCAGGTCCTCTGGTTTCCTCCCACTGCTAAAGACCAATTTATTGAAATGAAACTGAACCATGTGTTAATCCCGAAATGACCTAATTTGTGTTAAGTGGACGTTAAACCCCATTTCTCTGTCTCTTATTAAAGTTCTATACTTACTAGCCATATTACCCTCTATACCAAAGTAAGCTATCTGTAACATGATTCTATTAGTTTTTTTACTAGCTCGTACTTCCCATTCACAGTATGTATTAGATTTATATTTACGCGGAAAGTTTGGACTCTCTATTAACCCTCCGCTACCTCCACTAGGAATAATTTTACCACATTCTAAAATTGAAAAACAAATTGTTATAATAAATCAACAATGAGTTAAGAACAATGAACACAGTGCAAATATTAATTATGTGTTTAATTTCATAACTGTGAAATTTAGCTGATATTCAATCATTGGGAATAGAAATTGAAAAGTGAAATTGCCATAACTCTAATAAGAAACTTAATTGTACAGGTTAATGAGCTTTAGTGTCTTGCTTTTAGTCACAAACCGTGCTAATAAAGACGTCTATGAGGGAAATTTAGATAGACGGTGAGTGACACTATCGCCAGTACTGAGTTGTGCCGAATGGTACTAAATGTTTGTGTTAGCATATGCACCTAAAGTTGTTCATTGAGTGCTTGTCCATTATTGACTGGCGTATGGCCTACTTTTATTTCATTTTCCAACTGTCACAGAATCTGAAACATTCTGTCAATGGAATAGACAGGACATGGTTTTTTTTGGTCCCAACTGAACAACTAGACACTTTTACTTCCCAGGCCCTTTGTTGTTATCACTGAGGAACTTTTGTGGATATCACTAGGACCTCCGGGCTAACGAGGCATTGTGGCTCCATAAGCTAACATGCTACATTCTTATATTCTTTGCCCTAGTCCGTGAAAAGTTCTTTTCAGATTAAATTATTTTTTTAAAATTGCAACAGTTATTTAAAATTTAACATTAAAAATAAAACTTACTTGTATTCATATCTCCATCTCTAACAAATTGAAAAGTTGCTTTAAAACCCATGGTACTTTGTGTGGAATCTGAATGGAATAATAATTTAACAACTCGATGTGATATGAAAGGAGCGGGAAAATGACCAGAACAATATCTTACAATGGAAGTAAAATTATTACGAATGTCGGTTTCTTCATAAAATTCAACGTAATCTGTTCCTCTACACCTGAAACAAAAAATTATCAAATGTATATTATGAAAGTGATCATTAAATTGTTTATCTCTATAAGAATTTGGCAATTTATTATTCCTCCAATGAGGTGTCACAGACTGTGACACATTAAGCATGTTGGCTACTGCTCGCTGTGTAGAACCCATTTGAAGCATGCCATTTGAAGCACGTAGACGTTCATCTTCTTGAAGACGTCTCATTGCAAACTAAACGTAACACACTAAAGCAAAGATACACTAAACAGTAAATCTTATGCAGGAACTGATAGGAAAGCAAACATGGATAGGATAAACCAGAACACGGCAGTTTTCATCAACCCTTCCTTGAAGTGTCAAATTTGACAATGACCCCCTCCCACGTTTATGGCGTTATTGCGTGTCGCAGGTGCAGCTCAGTGGTTCTGTTGGGGTGATAAGTTCTTCATCTGTGAACATACTCTCAAAGCATGTCAAGTGTCCATGACTATTTATCACATCACAACCTGCATAGGTAATTACATTTCAATATCTCCTACTTTTTTTAAAGAGTATAATTTCAGAAATGGGGATAGTTATTTGGGGGTAGGGGAATATTTCCTTAAGAAGGACATTAATTCATATAGAAATCTTTCCAAATATGTCATTATAATGCCCGATTCGGATTTACAATACATGTGCTACCACTGAATTATTACAAGAGATACCTACAGTTCTAAATCATAGAAATATATCTGGAATCATACTTACAGCATATTATCTGTTGCTGGTAAAGAGAAAACATCAAATGATAAAAGTATTTTGGCATCACCCTGGGGTCGGAATATATAAACACAATCTAGATCTTCAGGGTAGTTGCCCGGGTGACGAGGTGAGTTAAATACTCCTGATTGTGTTTTAGAACTATCATATAAATAACTACATTGTCCTTCAGCTATAGGTAAACCAGATATAGCATAATCTAAAAAATAGAAAATACCATCATCATTATAGGTAAACCAGATATAGCATAATCTAAAAATAGAAAATACCATCATCATTATAACATAACTAATTATAGGGAAATGATTTCTCTCAACATTACTGTAAAATTTAGAAATTAAAATAAGAAATTATTTCGCTTAATTCAAATATACATTTAGGTTGTTCCAATAACTGGTTCCAGTGTCATCAAAGATAACAACCCTGAAAACAATAAGCTAATCATCCATGATTAATTAGTTGCTAGACCAACTGTAAAGTCAAAACTTAACAAAATAACCACGAAAACCTGTTTGTTAGTTGAAGTATGTTTGATATATTGTTTTGTGTTTTCATACAAAATGGAAGGGGGTGATGTGGGGTGGCTGTGTGCAAAGTGTTTTTTTTGTGGATAATTAATGACAGTAAACCTAATAGCAGAACAATAAAATCAAAATCAATTATTATACATCTTATTGAATTATGAAATAGGTCCATTGTTCATCAGCCAGGCTCTATGTGAGCATCTCTGTATTGTTTGCGTGCCAAACATTGTTTTCTAAAACAATGCCCCAACAGCTTTATTACAGCCACACAGACAGACATATACTGTAGTCTTGACTGACAAAACAGATTGATTTCATCTTTGGAAATCAGATAGGAAGAACTGCTGATCAAATTTAACTGTAACTATCCTATAAAATAAATCCTCAACAACATCTGATTTAATTAAGGGATACCCAGCAATTGGAACATCCCTAAAATATTAAGAAGCTTAAAGGATTAAGATATCAAATTAAATATTTCTTTTTCACAAATAAACTACTTTACCTGTAACAAAGTTATAGCGTGCTAGAAATCTTCCACCTCGTACAGCACCATGTGTATCTAATGTTAAAACTAGACGCGGACCAGAACTACTTAAAGCAGGAGGTAACAACGATCCACAAAACTTCTCTTTTACATCACCCTTACCATATCGACTATCATCGTTTAACCCAACATAGCCAATCATACAACTACAATATATAGAAAATCATCAAAGAAAAGAAACCGTCCAATTACATCTTTTTATCGAGGAGTAGATATCCAAATGAAAAAAATCTTAAAGATTGATGCGAAGACATTTTAAAAAATACTACATACCCAAAGAAGATTATTTTCTGACATACATTTGAAATAAAGATAATACATATTGTCTTATGCGGAAGTGTTCATTAAAGATGCATTATGTTAGAGCTAAATCTGTCTATTGTAGATCTTTCTTTTAGCCTCAAATGTTATATAATTTAATCTGATTAAAACACAGATCCTATTTCATTCCGTTTTTTATAGTTCAAAATTTCGTTTTTTACTTGTCTTTACTACACTAGGATCTGGAAGAGTTGTTATTGACGTGTTCTGGAGGATGCGAGGGATTAGCCAATGAAACAGTCTGTTACGGCGAGCTTTTGGCGTGAGTTGCACGGAACTGTGGGTAATTCACTAGAAACATCAATGCTGATTGGTTAATCAAATGACTGATGTAATAGGGTTAAAAGCCGCTCGATACATTACAACCGGTCAGATTTTCATGTAGTGTAGGCCATCGAAAGTATAAATGAAATATAGATCTGTATTTTAATCAGATTGATATAAATTATTAATTAGACATTTATTCACATGAAAAGCCCATAATTGAATGGTTGTGATTTTGAACGGATTGAAACACAATCGCCATTTATAATTTAATCTAAAAACGGAAAATCAAGACTTGTTTATTATTGGAGCAATGGCAACAATAAAAATCAGGACTACGCTATTCTTCAAACAGTCATAACGTTGCTCAGAATTAAGTAATTTGACTTAAATTTTCAATATATTCCTTTTACATTATCTATTTTTAAACTATTATAGGGAGAACTGTCAGCTCTTTATCTTAATCTTACATAATGCATCTCTAAGTTTAAACTGTCAGTTATTATTGAATTTAGAAACACATCACTTCAATAACTACAAGTCAAAGAAAATACTTACTAAGGCATATTTCCTGGTATATTAAAGTCAAAAAATGTTATTCTGGCTTTTTCTAAATTTTGACGATCCATTAATCCGTCAAGATAATATCGACAGGTTATATTCTGGGGGAAGGATTCTGGGTAACCAGGGGAGGTAATTGTACCATTGGATTCTTTTTTACTTAAAATTCGTTGATCACATTCTGAAATCAATTACAGAAGATAATATAAATAATGTAATAAAATTGCAATAGTCTTGCACAAGTTTTGAAGATTAGAAAATGAGTTTATCTCCCTTGAATCATTCTTCGTTTCTGAGTGCATAAAAGGCAAAACCAATCTCTCACGTTCTATCAATTTCTGATCTGTACAATACTGTACATTGTTTTGTGAAACCCCCTAGCACCTGCTCTGACTGGGTTACTATAAACAATGCATTGTCTGTATGTTTGAATGTCAGTACTATATAAAACAATATACGCCCACAGCAGCTATATCCGTGCAGTTGACAAGGGCTGTCACATATTCATTCTTTTGTAGGTAGTGAGAGCAAATGAAATGAAATGGGGTTTAACGTTCTACTGTTCTGCTCCTATAGGTAGTGAGAGCATTTACAAGAGCATTTTCATATGGATCGGATGATAACTTTTAGATAAGCTTCTCTGTTTTATTAATTTAATTTCATGTAAATCTAATGATAACTTTTGTTGTTCGAGTGTTAACAAGGTTCAACAAAGTGAAACAAGGGCCAGAACTCTAGAAGTAATTAATGGAAATTGTTGAAATCCAATAGGCTTTTCCGTTTCATTAATCTAAATAATACATTTTAATGCTGAAGTTCAATAGGCTTCCTCATTTCACTAATACTTATAAAAAGAGACTGTCAATGCACTTCGCTCAATTTGCCAGAAGTGGTCACAGTTATTCTAAGAATGTGCTTGTTTGGCTTTGATTGATGAAATAATTATAAATTACCTGTTCCTAATATATGTTCAGCATCTTGGCCAATATAATCTACAAATAAACAATTATTATTGTATACTTATAAAAACAAAATCACACATAGATTATTTGTACACTGAAGACTTCTTTTACTGGGAATATACATATATATGACAGATCAAGGTGACAATGCCTCATTCTTAATGAATTAATCTAAACAAGCTTCGCCCAGGCAACATATCTATCAATTTTGGTTGTAAGCTATTGAGTGGGTTTGTGAAAAAAGTTGAAAATGTCTAAATCTGCCCCTTGAAGATATCCCTAGGGCAAACATCTCCATTTGCACGGCAACATATACCTAACCAATTTTGTTGAAATCTGATTGTCTAATAATTTGCTATAAAATTACCATTCCTTACGGTATTTTCAATAAACAGTTTTAACGCCATTGCTGGAACTCTATCAAAGACATGCAATTGTTGTATCTTGTAAGAACTAATTCTATATAGTTCCCTCAAACAAAGCAGATCATGTATTAGATCTACTTTTACATAGTTTGAGGCTGTCTTAAATGAAGCATGTTTCAATTAAATATGAATATTGACAAATTTAGATCTCAGATTGAAAAAAATCAGACAGTTCTCTTGATTTTAACAAAAATCAGATTGCCACAAATGACATGTTTGTGTCAATTATAAAAGTCTCAAATTTTCAACACGCGATCTAAATTTAATTATTCTGCCTTTGATATTCCCAATAATTTGATAGGAAAAAATGCATTAACTTCAACATACCTAAATTAACAAAATTATCACTAAATTCATAAGTTATATTAAATCCCCTCCTGTCAAAACTAAAGTCTGCTTCAGCTTCTAAAGGCGTTTTACCAAAAACTAAACGTCCTTGAGTTGTCACAAATTCTAAATGTAATGCTTCACTTGTAGAGTATAAAACAGTATGATTATATTTTCCACAAAATGTTCCTATAACTGGTGAATCATTTGTATATCCATCATATATCTTTAAATAATCAAATGGACAACTGAAAGAAAGAAAAAATTAAAACATTTATTAGATTAATAATTAATCTCTTTTTTTTTTCTCAAACTTTTACATGAGCAATTCAGATATATATATACTGTTTTAAATTTTTTTTTTAGATCAGTATCAGTTTGCTGTGCAGGTTAAGTCAACTAAGAGTTTGCTGAAAATATTGGTCCTGTCTAGAGTTTGATGTGCTGATAAAGTCAGTAAGGAGTTTCGAATTTGCATATTTTGAGTCAGAAGGAAGTTAATCAATCAAAAGGGAGTTTATCCGGCATATTAAATCTGTAAGTCATGGGCTAGAAATTAAAGTCAGTCGGGAATCTGCTGTGCAAATGTAGTCAGTAAAATGTTTTGGTTAAGTAAGAGGAAATCAGTGACAGGTAGGCTACTTTCCAATGTGTGACGGTATCCAAGACATATAACGATTACAATCATAGCTAGGTTACTTACTATTCATCACCATGGAAGAGAGAAAAATCTGTAAAAATTAATTTTATTCTTTGTCCTGGTTTCCCTTGAAATTTATAATAGCAATACATATTATCTGGATACATTCCGGGGTAGGTGGGAGATATTATATAGCCTTTACTTCTAGCTTCACTACGTATTGTATAGCCACATGCCATAGGTGGGGCTTTTGTTCCTATATCATACATAGCTGAAATAAAGAAGTTAGTCATAAGTATACAAAAAAAAATCAAAATATCAATTTTTGTTTGGCAGATCACAAATCAAATGGAATTACATTTTAGACTGGTACCAAATAGACTATAAGAATGATTCCTTAAAATGATGTAAACAAGCAAATGAAAGTGATGATAAGAGTATATATTTTACAAGACCAAACTTATAAATATTCAATAATAAATATTAAAACAAAATATGCAAGAGTTGTTTTATATGTTAAATAACAAAATGGATGTGAAAATGGTTAATAAAAAATGACTTTAAATTAATACATTTAATTAATATATTTTCAAAACAGATAATGAAATTATGTTTTTTATTAGTTAATAAATCATATTAGAGTTATTATACACATACTAACAGGCCTATTAATAAATTATCATGCTTGCTTCTTTTTAAACTAAACTACTTAATGTTGAAAAGGAAATAAACATGCAAAATGTCATAAACACAGACAGAATACATTTATTATTTGATATATGTTTTATCTATAGTAAATTTTATAAGTGCTGTGTGTTTGGTATTTTCCCCAGAATTCCATTTATCTGGCATTTTTAATGCTTGTTTAAGGTAAGTTAAAAATGGAGCTTTTAACATCATTAATCTGTAACTATATCATGCATGTTATAGACCATGTTGGTCAAAGTTTGTTTTTCTCTTTTGTTGCAATATTTACTGCATGATTTAAAGTCTTATTTATCTAAAAAGTGTGTAGAAACATTTTATATAAACAAAATTTAAAATATCCTACAGAACAGGTAACACATATGCATGACTCTTTAAACACTAGCTGTACAAAGTGTAATGTAAGCTAGGAGTTCATTTCCCTTACATATCCAATTGCCTAGAGGGCGTTCTATATTAGACTATCACCGAGAAGTAGCAAAGCTGTTTTTTGTACATTAAGGGCATAGTTTTCTAACTACTTGGGTAAATTTGTACGAATATTGGTAAAATTCTAAATATCGCAACAAATCTAATACGAAGAGGCTAAAATCTGTAGATATGGTGTGTTAATATAATGAACAGGGTCAGAAATTGACTGAAAGGTGATTTAATCATCGCTAGGGATGAAAATCTCTGTGACAGTGCATTTTCTTTACTGGGTGTGTTAAATAACGGACGGGTTAAAAACGACTGACATGGTGTGTATTCTTTGTTTGGAGAGTTTTCTCGAAAGCGTGTTATAACTGCACCAAAAGTGTTTAATCAAGGACCAGCAGGCTTTATCTGACACGTAGGTGTTAAATCTAATTTACCATGTGATTTCTTGTTTGACCATGTGTTTTACGCAGATCAGACTTAGTTAAGTGTAGGTCTTTATACATGGATTTATACGTGCTGTAGTTACACATGTGGGTTCTTATACGTATTTCATTCTTCATGAATACTACATGTTTTATTCTTCATACCATAGTCGGGCTGCAGTTATTTATATATTTGTCTTTTTTGTGGGTTTAATTTGTTTACATATTATCGTCCGAAACCACTGAACTATAAATGCACGTATAAATAAAATTGAACGCATGCAGTATTGTTATTTATTGATATCTGGACCAATCTCCATTGATATCAGATTAACGAATCTGTTTCGAAGGAAGTTTATAAATATAAAATCGCAAAATTAATGAAAACCTATTAGTTTTGTCACTGCTATATTTACAACACGAGGGCGTTTTAATTTATAAATGTATTATTTCTTACCTGGGTTGTAAATAGGAGAGAGAGAGAGAGAGAGAGAGAGAGAGAGAGAGAGAGAGAGAGATGGGGTTTAACGTCCACTCGACACAAACTAGGTCATTTCAGGACTAACATATGGTTTAATTTTATTTCAATAATTCGCTTGCGCATAGGGGTCTTTAGCAGTGGGAGGAAACCGGAGAACCCGGAGAAACCCACGAGGTTGGACAGCGACCCTACTCCTTGTCACGTACAACTGGGGATTTGAAACCACACCAGTTGACTCAATGACAGGCCTTATGAGGGTTGTAAATAGGACTACTCAAGAAAAAAGTAATTCCCACATTTACAATAAATGATAATTCACATATCAAATAACACTAATAAAAGTAACTTTCACAGTCTTGCAGTGTCGGTACCTTGCCGCGAGAGTGAGCTTAAATATAGAAATAGGACGAAACTACATGAGTTGACTCTGAACTGAGAACCGTTACAATATATACGTCACACCTAACATCACAAACTGTTTATTTTTTTAAAAAAACTTCTTTTTCTACATAAGTTCTTTTGGCAACTAAATAAATCATTATTTCCCCCAAAAATTGTCATTGGTAATGCACTGATGACACTTCTACATTGTTAATGACACCTCTGTTATAGTGTTAAACAGACATGTCAGATTTGATTGAAATCTATTTCATGCTTCAGCTTTTGAAAGAGTATCCTTCAACAAAATCAGCCTAACAAAAACATTCAGATGCTATTAAAATCAATCGATGTACTAAATTCCAATATGATCAATCGCAATGTTTTTTCATTCCATAATCTGTTACTAAAGGACTTGTATTTTCAACCATAGCTGCCATTTATGTACTTTTTGCCTGCCTCCATCCAACTTGAACAGAACTGAATCTATCTGTCAGCTATTTGGCCTGCCAGAAAATTCAAATTCTATGAAATACACTAGCTGTAATCACTTACATGTAAATAGCTTAATGTTATAATTTAGCCCTTTTAGGTTAAAACAGGTTTTATTTCTTAAAAGCAAAAAATATTCAGAAGGCACATTTATAAGTAGAATCAATGTCAGATTGGTAGGCCTATGTGGTAAATGTGACATAAGCATGTCATAAAATGTCCAACAGGCAAAATTTTGAAATGAGAGCCAAAACTTGAAAACACTCACATTTCAATTGCAATCTAACAACAACATCAATCAAATAAGAGACCCGTGTGGCAAAATGAGTCGAAATGTGCAAATTCTAAAATAAGATACAGACAAAACAAGTGTAAATATTGATTTTGATTGAAATTGGGATTTTCACAAAAATGAGCAATTAAACATTTTAAAACAGCTTTATCTGGACGTTTTGTAAGAGTACCGAATTCATAAATCTGTCTTTTCTCTTAAAATTCTCAGCAAAATTAGTTATTTTTCTTCGCTCGCAGCGGGACGACCTGTCAATCATCTAGCATAATACTTGGCATCGTTGTAAAGCAGCGATTCTCTAGTTTATAAATATGACCAAAGTATTGCCGATGAATTTTTTGTGAAGGAATACAAACCAGTTTTAAATCCCCTACAGGGGGGTTGGATTGAAGAATGGTTAGCACATGCGCGTTGTATCATAAGGTCTGTCGTTGAGTAAACAAGTCTGCTTTATTTGTGTCATTACACTGCCGCCAAAATGCATGAAAGTTGACTTAAGCATTTCTTACAAATGAAATTGAAATTTCTATCATTCTATCAGGGATTCATATTTTGATACCGTTACGGTACTTGAAAATAACAATAGACACATAGTACACGCAAAACCTTATTTTAAAGTTGCTAAGTCTCTAACTCAATATCATCCAAAATCTTCAACATTGAAAACACGATTTATTTGTCAAATTAAATCAACATTCATGTTGTGATCTTACCGGGAAAAGATGGGCTTTTGATATCCAATATTTAAGACAAAATAAACATTTTACCATTGGTACACGAATCGTGTACCATAATGCGCTTCAGCCCCAGTTGCATCAAGGGACTCGAGGGACGAGGCTAGACACATTGCACCAAATCAAACGGCATATGTAGACTGGAATAACCAGACGCTAGAAATTTGCGCTCGCTTGAGACTGCTAGCTTATTTTGCCGAACATAACTGATTTGAAATTGGAGTAAAAACTATAACGATTGAATGTAAATCAGTTTATATCCATTCATATTACAGTATTATATGTGTTGCGACCCACTTTTGTCAATTTCTAGGTCCCAAATGTTAGCGATTTAGCTCCTTTAATTCAGTCGTGTCGGGCTTCTTTGAAACTAAACTTGATTACCCAATCAACAAACTTAATCCCCTAACCACTGGCACTAAGGTGCTAATTAATTGACGAGATTAACTAAAGTTATTCTCACCAAAGTTATAATATACAAAACATTACTAATGTATGGACTATTCTCATTAATGTTCTAAATTATAACACTATCATAGGAAATGTGAATATGTTGTTGATGTTTAGTTACGAAAAGAGTTCATTGCGTGAGATAAATATACTAGTTGGCGAGAAAAAATATATAAACTTTTTTTTATTTAAAACAAATCTCGGATCAAAATTTTACTATAATTTTCGTCTTCAGCACCCCTGAAAACCTAAGGAATAAATTATTAAATGACAAAATAGCAAATAAACGGGATGGTTGCTATGTGATTTTGTTTTGGAACATACCGACATCTTTAACTTGCTTTTTCTCAAATCTTACTTTCTTGACTTGGGCAGCTTCAAACAGACAGAGCTCAGTCAATATTTGCCCAAATCAAACCAATCATACATCATTTTGAAGGTATTGAATTGGGAAGAATGTGAAAATAACAATAACTCAATTTTCAAAACTTCCTCATTGCGACTCATTATGCCACACGGGTCACATATAATGTACAGGAGAATTTTTAACTGTATCAAAGGGATTTTAAAATATGTACATGTTAATTAATTTAGTAAGACTGGGATTCTTGTCCGTTCACTTTTCCATACATGTCAAGTGACAACTGATAACTATACATGCACTGTAATTCAGATCCATCAAACATTTCCCACTTTGCTTCAGAAATTACTCTCAGAAACAGAAATCCTCCAATGACCCCATGATCACTTGTCAGTGAGCTGACACTGACAAATTGATTTTAATTTATATGCACAATGTAATCTGTATTATAGCAGTTCAAAGTGTCTAAAAGCATTCTTTAATCTATAATATTCATACTACTGGAAGTCTGAAAATAAGGTTTTCTTTGAAAACATACATTTCTGATGTTACAGTCTACGATATAAGTTTTCAAGGAAGATTGAAAGTAATAACATGGTTTAATTTAAGAATTATGGTCAATCATGTACAAATACATTCCATTCAAACATATGAAGATGGATACATATGGCAGTCAATTACATTTTGGGGCACAATTCTGCTATTTCTCGCATCTGGCTAACTTTGAGCTATTTCATTGTTTAGCTAAAAAAAATTTCCTTAGGTATAATAAATAGTCTTGCCAAAGTTGTCTTCAATTCAAAGACCAGAAAGATTTATTGGCCAAATTTAAGACAGGGTAGTAGAAAAGTGGAGTCTGTTGCATTCTGAACAAAAGTTTGATGGGACATATCGGAATAACTGTCATGATTACCATGTTCTCAAAATAAGAACTAAAGTTACAATCTGATGAACTGAAAGAGAAACAAAGGATAAAAAACACATACAATTGTGGGAAGAACAAAGGCGAAATACGATTTTATTACAAATGGTAGCAGAAACTAGAACAAGGTACCAGTCAATATAAATTTATTTATTACTATACTTACTATCACTTGTTCCCTCATCTTCAATTGATAAATAAGATAGAGATAGGGAAAGAAAGAATTAAAGTTGTACTTCAAATCAGTTTTAGAATAAAGTTAAAATCAAATTAAAAACATCAACTATATGGTCAAATTAAATATTATAACTGCAACCAAAGAATAAAAAGTAAATAAGCCAGTCAGATATATCAAAATATTAATACCGCACACGAGAATTGTTAGATCTTTTAGGATTGTGCAATTTATAAATTTATATAATATTCTTAATGAAGTACAACTTTCATACACTCCTTAATGAAAGCCACCACCATTTTCTAAGGTTTGACATATTCTAAATGATCTATGTTTTGAATTGCAAATACCGTATTAATACTGGTGTTATAAAAAAGCAAAATAATACAAAACAAATTATTCAAATCATACTCCTTGCAGTGGAAGTTATTGAATTTTCAAATACGTCAATAAAACTTCAAACTGAGACTTTTCCTAAAATGTCTACCACGTTAATGAGTATGACTCAACTGTAAGTATTAGTGTGTGAATAAGCAATTATATGTAAAATTAATAATCAATCCAATTAAATTATAGATTTTATTTATGGTTTTTCCCGTATTTAATGATGGCATAAATAACATTAATCGTTCAGAATTACTGTGACAGGTTTTTCATTCCAGGAAATTTGTATTCAGATAATATCTTAATTGTAATTCTTAGTTCTTTTTGGGGTTCTTTAAAAAGTGTGGCTAAAAACTTGTAATTTTTCATCACCAATAGACAGCCTCCCTACCCAAATATAATTTAGGAGATAATATGAACATTAAAGTTTACAAGAGGCGACATTGTTGCATGCGAACCATCAAAAAATAAATGAAGCCATTTAAAATCTACATTTTAATAAATTGACATTAAAGCTTACCAAACAGAGCTACAAGAAACATAAATAAAATAGATTTCAATCATTCAGTTTTAAAGATCTAAGTTAAAGTTTCTTATGTTAGAATTACTTGCAGCTCTGTTGTAAAATAAATATATATTTGAATATATGGGTGTAAGGCAATAAAGCATTTATAAAAAGCTACAAGAAGGCTACCGGTAATATTAAAATATTTAATGTTGATCGCCTAGTAGCAATCAGAAGTATTTATATTACACCCACAACTAACGTCTCTTTTGACAGTTTCAGAGAATAAGGCTGATAGCCCCCACACATCTACAGCAAAAAATAGATATTGGAAACAGAAAGTCAGACAACAATTCATACTTACATGCATCAAAAAATTCATAATTTCCACAAAATCCTGCATAATTTTTGGTAGAATCAGTAAAGAATGATAAAACTAACACATTATTTCCTGAAACTACTAATTTAGGTAAATTGTCTGTTGCTTCACCACAGAATCTACCCGTTAATTCTGCCTCTAATAAATCTTCATCATGGGATTTAAGTTGAGAGAAAATGTCTAAGTAATCATGATCACATCTGAAAAACAAAAGAAACTACTATCAAGACATACTAATGATCCTTCAACAGAGACATTTTAGTAACGAAACATGAGTTTTAAAATTCCTGATTATGGATTTGTTCACAAGATGTTCAAAAATGGTGCCCCGGTTGGCTTTAAGTAGTGACAATAATTTTCAATGAATGGCATTTCACAGTATCACGTCTTTTGTATCTTCTTTGTAATACACTGGCTAGTTATTATTTCTATGATGTGCTTTAAACCAGAAGCATAAACAAATTCGTTTTTGTAGGCCTATCTAGCTAAATTTACAAAAAAAACCCACCTTGTTTAAGCGGCATTTAAATAACTGACACAAAATAAAACATGACAATTATATTTAATACAAGTTATTTAGATGTTTATTTCCGGTAACATTTCGACAAGGTTTTTGTCTTTATCAGGCAAATAATAACAAGAGGAACATTGTCAAAACATTGCCAGAAATAAGCATTTTGACCACCTGTACATAAAGTTGTAATATGACTAATTTACTAGAAGCATTTGGTGAGAATATAAAGTTGAGCACTGATAAACAACTTGTTTTTTTTTTCATTTGGCTTTATACACAAACTTTTTAATCTACACAAAAATCTCATCTATTTTAAAACTGATTTAAAACTAAAATTTCAAGTCTTTGAAACTTATCTCCCAGTGAAAAAGATAAACTGTCTTTTTTCAGTCTTATTATTCTATCTATATTTGTCTATAGCTTTGGTGAGTTAAATGTGTTTTTTTAACAACAGTATAGAAGAAAGCAGGAATTTTTCAATCAATGAAAGTCTTCTTTATATAGATTTCCTCAGTGACAATTTCTTTTCACAAAAAGTTTTTCTAAACAAGTGGCTCTGAATCTGTGTTATCTGAAGAAAAAAATTATCACCAGATTGGCGAGATTTGAACATTATTAACAATTCTGGTAAAATCAATAGCTGACTTTGGTGAATAGTGCTGGAACAATCATTATGATCTCATTGATTTTCGTCTCACAAAATTTGGCAACTCGCATTGTGTTGTTGAAGTCGATAAAACCTGATAAGTATTAAGTATATATATATGACTAAAATGGAGAAAATAACTATCCAGCAATATGTATCAATAATTAGTAGAACTCTTTCACTAATTGGCTTAAAAATATATATCCACTTGTTTCTAGTTCTCCTGAGCTTTAAATCAAAGAGGGTGTTATTGCATCTAATTTGTTTTATCCCTGTCTGGACTACAGCTTCAGAATTTAAAAGAAAAAAGTCCTTAGCAGTTTGTTTGATTTTTGGGTCTACTGAGTATATTTTTGTTTAATGGTCTATTGTCTGAAATAAAAGTTTATAGTCTTAGCTACTGTACTAAGATCTGATCAATGAAGTGAGTTGTTGCCTGGTAAAGCTGTCTGATAAACTGGGTATATTTCTGAAACACCATTGATGATTATCTTCAGTTCAAACTTTATTTCATGTTTTAATGCTGTGTCTAAATCATAAATCTTTGATGAAGACATGCTTTTACAATAATTTGGATAAGAAAAACCTTGGCCTGGAACTATAAAATAACTGTATAGTTTGTTGGTTCCAATATTCAAACTTCAAGTTACAGCAACAGACTATTTTATTAAGCATTAAGATTTTTTTCACACAAATTGTTCTACCAGTTGTAATCAGTATTGATTAAAAATACAAAAATTTCTTTCTTCATATTTAGTTTGGTGAAATGTCTAGAGGATAGGATAAAAAAACGACACTCTGTGTACCCATTGGCCTGCACATAAAGAAACCAGCTGTTGCCAGGCAAACTACGCCCACATTTTGCAAGATATGTATAGAGTGCAATCAGAGGCCATAATCATAGAAGTTATGGTATGAAATGTGCAACTATCGAAAGTGGCTAATGTATGTATAAACATACATTTAAGTTTTCATCAAAATTGTATAAAAATTGTGACATGTAGAGTGTTCACAACCTTGGTACATTACATACTTTTACAATATTTTGCATACAAGGAGCAGCCATTTTGTCTGGCAGTTTCAGTCAGATTTTTACGAAATTCGAACTCAACCTTTATTGATGTGTAACGGTGATATACTTAAACGTTGTTTAAAATTGAATGCAAATTGTGACTTCTAGCTGGTCTACAAGCTAAAAATGCGATTTTTCGAAAAATCAGAGGCCATAATCCAGGAAGTTACATTCAGATATGCGCGATTATCAACAGGAACCAAGACCATTGTGATAAAAACATAAATTTAAAGTTTCATCAAAATCGAATCAACATAGTCGCCTCTAGGGGTGCCAGTTTCTCCGGCAGTTTTGTTGTGATTTTCACAAAATTTAAACTCGACCATCATTAGCGTGAAATGGTGATACATGTATATTCAAACGTTTTTTTATTGGATAAAAACTGTGACCTTTAGAGGGGACTACAAGCTAAAAACGCGATTTTTCGTACAATCAAGGGCCATAATTTTTACACTATTTGCGTACGAGGGGCAACCATTTTGTCCAGCAGTTTTGGTTTGATTTTCATGAAATGAAATGAAATGGGGTTTAACATCCTACTGTTTTGCTCCTGATTTTCATGAAATTCGAACACCAGGGGCAGATTCAGAGGCAGGGGGGTTTGGATCCCTCCTCTTCAAAGATACATAGTCTCAGGTACCGAGCAACCACCCGCCCCCTTACAAAAATTCCTGGATCCGCTCCTGAACTCAACCGATGTAACGGTGATATATTTGAACAATTTTTTTTTAAATCGGATAATAATTGTGACCTCTAGAGGGACCACAAGCTAAAAACATGATTTTTCGTACAATCAGGAGCCATAATTCAGGAAGTCATGATCCGATATGCATGAATATCGAAAGGAACCAAAATCTTTGGGTTATAAATATGCATTTCAAGTTTCATCAAAATCAGACGAAAATTGTGAACTCTAGAGTGTTCACAAGCTAAAAACGAGATTTTCTGTACAACCATGGGCCATAATCCATGAAGTTATGGTCCGATACATGCCGATATAGAAAGGAACCAAGATCTTTGGGAGATAGACCTATATTTCAAGTTTCATCAAAATCAAATAAAAATGGTGACCTGCAGAGTGTCCACAAACAAAATGTGGGCGTATAAAAACTTGACAGTTGGAATTTAAATGAAGAGCAAGCTGTAGCGCCACTGTCCAGGCAAAATGACCCTCTTCATTAGCCCAGATGGGACGGATAAATAGGATGTTAAACCCCATTTTATTTCATTTCAGTCAACTTCCACATTTAAACAACTTAAACTACAAAAGGGTTAGCCATGCAGTCCAAGCATACCAGTACGAGTTATTCTAAAAAGTATGTGAACCTAGCATACACTGCCTCATACATTGCAACTTATTGATAGAATTGTTTAGTTTTGTTTTTTTTTAAAACAAAGTACATTTCATTTCCACACTTTGTCCAATACAAACAAATTATTATCTTGCGTAATATTAAAACACTAATGTGATTTCAGGGAGAATGGATTAGCAAGAAGGTTATCTGCCAGACAAAATTATTGCTCAATCGGGACAAAAGTATGTAAAATATGTAACGTTTAAGACAAAAGATGATATTAATGGAAAATGTATGTAGTCAGCCACTGTATTAGGAACACGATAAATATCTTAAATTATCTAACATGATTATTGGTTCTAGAGTTTGTGACGATCTTTATGATTTCTAATTATGAAATAAATCATCTCCTAATCGTATCATTACAATCATGATTTCGAAATAATGGTGAAACTTTTCGCAACTATGAATTTCAAAATCAAGCTTATTTGGTCCAAGAAACCATTTATTTCACAATACATTGGTAATGATACTACTACAAAAATAATATATGTTTTATACCAGATACTTATGTATATTTGAGCATGTAAAATTCCGATCTCATTTGAGTGCCCAAGGGCACGAGAAGGATGAGAAGAATTATATGACTATATATAGCTCGGGGGTTTACATTGCATAATTCTCATTATCTGTCATAGTCTGTACCACTCGCTCAAACTTTAAAGTAGGAAATACTGCATGTGCATACCATACCCTGTGTGTACAGTAGCAGTGTATATAAGATTGTGACATATCACCACACAATGTCTTTTTAAAGTACGTGTCATCAAGTGCATATAACCCAAGGGAGGGTTGTGGACGGTAATGTAATCCCTCAAGCTATATATATTCATATAATTCTTCTCATCCAGAAGGGCGCTCGGATGAGATTGGAATTATATTCCATAATACGCCCATAAGGCATCGCAGGTTTACATTGCATTTTTAAAGGTTGAAAACACATGAAAGAAAAACACCAATGGAAGCGGAGGGAACAGTGCACTTAGCACTGTTGAGAGTTTGAAGATTTTTTTTAATTCAAAGTAAAAATTTGTTTTTGTAAATCCAACAAACTATTGTTATTGGATAGAAAATTTACATTATGATGATTTCTGGTATAATGACTGCTGTCAACAGGCCTATTCATGGAAGTGAAGAGACACAATTCAGTACTAGTAGGTATTTTTACCTTGTACCAGTGTCTTGCTTGATCTTCCGGCATTAGTGTCATCGTTTGTAAACAAATCGGATAAAGTGGTTTGAACCACAAGATCATCTGACCCATGACCTTTTGACACCACAGTGCTGTCAAAAATATCAGTCGGGCGGAATTCATCAAATTCAGCACATCGCTTTCTAACATGTGATGATCCATATGTATTACAACAAAAATTAATTTATCAAACAAAAAAATATGTTCCAACACAACGTGTTGAATAAACAACCGAAATTACAAAATCTAAATTAACGATCCAAGCGCTGTTGTGTAAAATAAAAATAAAAATCTCACTAATGACAAAGTGACGTATATGTTAACCTAAGAAGCTATGCTTCTACTAATAAAAATATACACTAGGTGTCTAAGGGTACATCTATTCTTAGACTCAATGAGAAAAAACATCGGTGGTGATATGTCACAGTCATACACTGCTACTGTACACACGGGGTATGGTATGCACATGCAGTATTTCCTACTTCAAAGTTTGAGCGAGTGGTACAGACTATGACTGATAATGAGAATTATGCAATGTAAACCTGAGATGCCCATTGGGCATATTATGGAATATAATCATTGTTGCAGCTTCTTCAGTTAGCTGTTCGGACGGAATTTAATTGGGATGCAATGGACGGTTGGGCAAGGGCCAATCTTATAAAATGCATTTTCTGTCAGTTGTTGGGGTGGGGGGCTGCGGAAATTGGTTGAATAAGAGATAATATACTTACATAGGTGATCTGCCTTGTAAATTGAATGATGTGAATTTAATGCGAATTCTTTCATTTTCTCTACCAATGAATTTATATGTACAGTGAACATTATTAGGATAAGGATTGGGCCACTGCGGTGAATGGAATGTGCCGTTTTTATGTGCATCATGTATACTGGATATCGTTGAATGACAATCTGAAATGATAAAAAAAAATATTTTAAATTTCAAATTACTTTTCATTGTTGAAAATGAAAAACAATTAGCCTCCATCTTTTGATCAATATCTTTGACAGATACCATGCAGAAACATTGGCATAACAAACTCTGGTTACAATCAATAGGTACAGAACATGAGCTCAATGCCTAGCAGGCTTTTGAAACGAAATGAAATGAAATGAAATGGGGTTTAACGTCCTATTGTTCTGCTCCGACTGGGCAGGCTTTTGAAGTTGGCTTACCTGGATAATATGAGCTTGAATAAAATATTCTAATATAAACATTGCATTCAAATTAAACCCAACTAGATTTGCACTAATGTTTTTGATTGTATTTGAAACTGTTGCATTCAAGTTTCATAGTTAATACATGTTGTTGTACCGTAATAATTTCTTAAATCTTACACAGAAATGATATCAGTCACTTGATTCGTGAAAAAGAATTCGGTGATTTCATTTTTAATGTGTCCTAGTAGTTTAGACATTGTGTTCTACTGTCAGACACTGGAGATATAGGCATTGCGGTCTTTTCACTTGATTCGTGAGGAAGAATTCGGTGATTTTATTTTTAATGGTGTTCTAGTAGTTTAGACATTGCATTCTACTGCCAGACACTGGATATATAGGCATCGGTGCCATTTCACTTGATTCGTGAGGAAGAATTCGGTGATTTTGTTTTTAATTGTGGGTTAACGTTTTGTACAGGATCGATGAATCGATTCACGACAGTGGGTTAATACATTCCGTTGTTTGAGAAATAGACTTTGGCGTATAAATTTCATGATTTCTGTTTAGTATTTCGGGCAAATCAATCATTTGAGACATAAAGGGCACACGTCACATTTCCAGAATCCATTGCTGTTTGATTTATAATAAAAAGTATCAAATTAAATCTTGTTTATTGTTTGTTTCATGACGTTAGCTGCCGCTGCATCCAGTATCCGAACCCTGTCCTACTACATGACAAAGAAGGCTGCTTAAAACACATTTTAACAGTATGGAGTATTTGAAGCAAACATTTGATAGATTAGTTTTTAGTTCAAATATATCATCAAATCACACAGTGCACATGGGAAGGCATCTTTAAGATTTCCATATCAGTTTTATTGGGTTGCATAACCAAATCAATAATCTAGTATATATTTTATTGATTGGAAATTGTCATATTTACAAGAAAATAAATCAAAGAATTATCTAGTTCAATGAATATTTTAAATGTTTCAAAATCTGAATCCATTTATTATGAAGTTATTATTTCACTTTCAGGCAGTGTAAGTGAAATGTCACACATACCCTAATTAAATAGGGTGTGATTCGTTTTCTAAGGTTGAATGTTTATTTTTTTAATGAAATAATAATAAAAGGAAACAATTATCTTCATTATCAGGAGGTGTCAACCCACATTTCAACAAAAAGTGACTAGTTTCAAGATTCTTTATTTTAAAATGTATCCAGTTATAAAAGTGTCATTTATAGTTCAAAGATAAATGTTTTTTTAATTTAGTAAAAGATGAATGAAAACAAGAGTTGTGGTAACCTTTACTGATAATATGTTTACTGTATGAAATCACAGTTACTTTTTAGGGTTTCACACTGCATAGCTTGTGTGAAACACTATTGTTTTTGTTAAAATTATTCTTATTATTATTAAGCTTTCATATTACATATGAAAGCTTATTGTTTCTGTTAAGATTATTATTGTTATTTTTTTTTTGTGTTTTGTCCACAAATCGGATTTCTCAGAATCTAACCATAGGATCGTTCTGAAACTTTTACCTATCCCCCCAAAAATTGGTGGTGGCTGTTGATTAAATATATTTTCAAAACGTTTTACGAATCCGAAATCACCGAATTTTACGAAGGAATGCATTTGACCTACAATGCTGTAACTCTGTGACTATTTTGACCTATTTTACTAATTCTTTTTTCTTTGAGTATCTTGAAACATTTACTTCAAATCTGCAATTTCGGATTTTTTCATTTCGAAAATTCGTCGCTGTCATTTCGAACCGGAAGTTATTACCAATTTGACAACTTCTTTAATAGTTGTGCGATTTTCGTGAAATTTAGAATGTTAGTAGATCTTGCCAATGCGACTTCAATGATGTCCTTGGAAATTTTCTAAATTATCTCCCCTTGGTGAAATTAAGGATCAAAGTTTTCAAAAAAATCGTCGAAATATAGGTCAGAATGACCTAAAAAAAAAATTCGGTACTAGACAAGTAATTACTGATTCGTACACAAAATATGGAGTTTGTCGATCGAACCGGAAGTGCCACCATCTTTAAACGTGAAAAATCAAAAAGGCTTTTTTGCTATTTTACTTACAGACTCGGGCGTCATATTTTCGGAATCCTGGAAGGAATACCTAAAAATCTATCGGATCAGAATTTTGATTTCGGTCACGTGATGGTCACCATTTTGAATTGAAAATGAAAAATAGAAGCAATTTGAAGGGCCGGGACTTTGGAACACAAGAACTCTCCTTCTAATTAAGCTAGAATGTTCAAACTTGGTGTAGGCGTTCACTAGGTCAATGTCATGATTGAGTTCAAAGATGAGCATTTTTTGCCTAGGGTAAGCAGAGATAAGCAAGCTGATTTGTTGATTCTTTAGGGCACGATGACATTGGTTATAATGAATGGAGGGCGATGAAACTCTTGTCAATCGAGAGGCTAATAGCTGGCCTGTTGTGTGAAATCATTGTATCATTTTTTATTCGAATTTCTCCTTTGATGTTTTCGGTGCCGACAAGGTTGTTTTCGAGTTTAGCTGGATTTGACTTCGCGCATGCGCTACGCTGGAACCAAAGGTACCATGAGTACTAAATTCAGGCGAGTAACTTTTCACGTTGGTACCTAGGTACCCTGAAAATTTCAAGGTGATACCTGCATTCGTTCAAGTCGTTTGTTCTTGTCACCTGCCTTTCGTCGTTTTTTTTCTAAGTCAATTTAAGGCTTCCATGAGGGGAAAAAAGTGGAATTTCGCCGTGACACCAGCACCGATTGTCCGAAAACCATGAAATTTGGACACAATACGCCCATTACCACCCCGGACTCTGTGCCCTACTCCCATTTTGATCCGATTGAAAAAAAAAAAAGTTTTAGCAAAAAAACGATTTTCGGAAATTAATATTGGTTTTAATTAATTTTGAAATTGCAAATGCAAAGAGATTTTATCGCCTCTTCCGTATGTGATAGGTACTGGTACTATACACATTATCCTTAAAAGACAATTTTTTAAAATGACCGTAACGATGTATCGACACTAGAAACCGAAATCGCCTATTTTGACCTTTTTTGACTGCTGAGGCATCATTCCGGTGGTCCAAATCTCTGGAATTTCTAGCGGTTGGCTGCGCCGCGATGATATTTATCACATACTAAATTGAGAAAAATCCTCAGATATCAAGAACAATAAAAATTCGATAAAATACGGCAATTTTTTAAGCAAAAAACCTTTGATTGTTGGGGGCGGGTTTTGAATTTATTTTGAACGTTCTCGGAATCCAACACTCTTCTATTTTTAATATGTGATAGCTAGAATCCCAAGGTACATTCTGTGCATATTTGAAGGCAATCGGAGCACAGGAACGTTGCCTGGGCAGAGCAAATCAAAGGCTTCTTCGTCTTATGACCTTAAACACTGCGTATAAATTTAAAGTCAATCGGATATTAACAGTAAAAGGGAGGCGACGACAATATACGACCACATTTCAATGTGGGCCTATAAAAAGTAAATCATTGCCAATAGAAAAGACCCACCTTTCCCCCAACAACAACCATGTAATGCACTAGCTATAATGGGGATTTTTCTGGAACACAGCGAAATGGGTCTTTTAAAATGTTCACAAGTGTATCACAAGGAGGGTTTGCTTCTTCTCTATGGGACACCCGATACCACTTCTCAACGAGGAATTCCGTCACACAGCCAACACCATTTTGTATGTTTGTGTAATCTTTATTCAGTATAAATCAAGTAATACAAATAAAAAAATACTTGGATTGATGAAAACATAATTTTTGAGAGTTATTCATACATGTAGCATAATTGTTCTTATTTAAAAAATGTACATGATTACATGTTTGTCATAAACAACATTAAATAAACAATCATGTTTCTTCACGATAACAGTAACAGTATAACAATTGTATGAAATATATTTTCCTTTATTTTTTTTTATTTTTAGAAAGGCCACTTCCTTGGTTTAAAATATATCATAAATTGTAGTTATCTAACATATACTTCCATGTATGTTTATCTAACAGATTACCACGTCGCCTTATCTAACAGAGAGTAAATGGTATACAATATCAAATTATAATCTACCAGCATTACTTGTTTCAGTAATTTAATCGTGTGTTATTCTTGTATTTAAGTGAGAAGAGTGAATAAACTATCATGGGTTGAAACAAATATATTGGAGTAGAAATAAACATTGTATATTGGTTTGCAAATAAATAATTGGTACAGATAATGCAATGTCATACAACATACTTTTTGGATTCGGTACAAATACAACCTTTTTATCATCAATGAAAATAATGTGATTTCAAAGTAACGATGAATAAAAAAACATTGCTTATATAAAGTACATGTAATTGGGTTCATTTAATTCACTTTGTATCTATAATATACATGTAGTATTAAACAATAAATATATTGATTAATGCCAATTCTATACAAATCTCATAGTTGTATTCATGTTTTCTTTACCATAACAAGAAACAGTACAACAGATTTAGTAACAATATATTCCTTTCTACATCCGTCAGAGTGGTTGATGATTCATAGATTCTAATAACCCCCTTTGAAGTTTATATGAAAGCTTTGATATATGCTATGCAGATCTAGTTCTTATTATTATTATTTTTTTTTTTTTTCCAATTTGATTGTATCTCAGAAACTACTTGTCGGATTGATTCGATGTCTTCGGTTTTACTGGAAAAGTGGGTGTGACTTAGAGATTAAAGCTATTT